ACAGAGAGCAATACCCTATATCAAAGTGTGCATAATTATTATTAGGCAAAATGGGCCAAAAAAAGACATTTAACTGAGTCTGAAAAATCAAAAAATTCTTTCAGAGGGATGCAGCGCTCTTGAAATTGCTAAGATATTGGGGCGTGATCACAAAACCATCAAACGTTTTGTTGCAAAAAGGTCAACAGGTATGCAAAAGCATGTTTAAAAAAAAAAAAAAAAAAAAAAAGATGCAAATTGACTGCCAAAGATTTAAGGAGAATCAAACTTCAAGCTACCAGGAACCCATTATCCTCCAGGGCTGTTATATTCCAGTGCTCAGAGACACGGCCAAGGTAAGGGAGGCTGAAACCCGACCACCACTGAACAAGACACACAAGTTGAAACGTCAAGATTTGGCCAAGAAATATCTGAAGACAGATTGTTCAAAGGTTTTATGGACTGATGAGATGAGAGTGACTCTTGATGGTCCAAAAGGATAGGCCCATAGCTGGATCAGTAATGGGCACAGAGCTCCACTTCGACTCAGACGCCAGCAAGGTAGAGGTGGGGTACTGGTATGATAATAATAGTAAGCAAACTTAAACGTGTGGCACTTTATTCTAATATTTGGGGTAATATACTATGTTGAGATCTTTTTTCTTTGAGGTATATGAAGATTCTCTGCAGTATACCATCAATCTGATTCGGGGAGAAAGAATTATTGGGAAATCACTTGCAAGAATTTTTTGGATTTGGATCTTTAAATTGGACTTTATTTTGGACTCTAGGTGTATGGGACTTTATAATTTTTATTTTTTGTTTATTTATTTAAGTTTGCTTACTATTATTATTATTTTTGTACTTCAGGGGAAGGAATGTTAAGTAACTTATTGGGGTTCTGGTAGAGGAAGTGAGTGCTAATTTTTGTATTTGGGGTACTGGTATGGGCTGGTATTTTTAAAGTTGAGCTAGATGGACATCTTCGGGTTGCAGATAGACTCAAAATCAATTCCCAAACCTACTGCCAGTTTTTAGAAGACACTTTCTTCAAGCAGTGGTACAGGAAAGTCTGCATCTTTCAAGAAGACCATAATATTTATGTCGGACAATGCTCCATCACATGCATTGAAGAGCTCCATTGTGTGGCTATCCGTAAAAGGCCTTAAAGATGAAAGAATGACATGGCCCACTTCCTCAACAGCCCTAAAACCTATTGAGAACTTGTGGGCCCTTCTTAAACTGAAGATTCATGGTGAAGGAAAACAGTACACCTCTCTGTACAGTGTCTAGGAGCCTGTGGTTGCTGCAAAAGTTTGATCCTAAACAGATCAAGAAGCTGACAGACTACATGAATGGAAGGCTTATGACTGTTATTGAAAATAAGGGTGGCTATATTGATCACCGATTGTTTTTTTTTGTTTTTTTTTTTTAATGTCAGAAATGTTTATTTGTATTGTTTCAGTTGTTTGTTAATTACTCTAACTAATAAATCTGCACACTAATAGTTGTCCAATAATGTGCACACATAGATATTCTCCTAAGCCAAAACCTCAATTTTACTTTCTTAACCGCTTTCGAGCTGTACCATAGCAGAAATAATGCTACAGGGTGGCTTGGCTATGCAAAATCACATATATACACGTGATCTTGCATTTCCAGGTAGGGGGCACGCACGCCCTACCCGTGCCGCCATTCGCGGCTTCGGCTGTCAATCACCAGGTCCCATCCAGTGATTCCCTGCCGCCACATGGCAATCTCTGTGTCCCGGCCGGTGATTGCTCGCCAGCACCCGGTGATTGCTGAGTATCTCCGACGGGGGAGAGACCTATATATAAACAATACAGATCTCTCCCGTCAGCTCCTGCACACTGCTTTGTATGGCTCTGCATAGCAGAGCCATAAAAAGCAGTGTGCTTATAGTGTAAAGCACACACAGCCCACAGTTAACCCTTTGATTGCCCCAGATGTTAACCCCTTCCTGCCCAGTGTCATTAGCACAGTGTCAGTGCTTTTTATTAGCACTGATCACTGTATTGGTGTCACTGGGGATGTCAGTGACAGTCAGTTCCCCCCAGTGTCAGGATTCCTGCTGCAGTCCTATAAGTCAATGATTCCAACCATTACGAAAAAAAAAAAAAAAAAAAAAAAAATTACAGTATATATACCGCCATTTGAAAACACTATAACTTTCATGTAAACCGATTAAATTACACATACTGGGATTTATTTTATAGCTAAGTTTATGATGAAATTAGATGTTTAATTTTTTTTTACTGGAGATGTTTAATAGCAAAAAGTCAAAAATATATATATATTTTTTAAATTGTTGGTCTTTTTTTGTTTATAGCGCAAAAAAATAAAAAAAACGCAGAGGCAATCAAATACCACCGAAAGAAAGCTCTATTTTTGGGAAAAAAAGAATGTAAATTTCATCAGTTGCCTGACTGCGCAATGTCAGTTAAAGTACCGCAGCGCCGTATCACTAAAAATGGCCTGGTCAGGAAGGGAGGTAAATCCTCTGAAGGGCATGTGGTTAAATATTCAGGTTTGAGGTTTATTAACAATTTGGATTGATCGAGAGCACTGTAGTTGTTCAATAATGAAATTAATCCTCAAAAATACAACTTGCCTAATAAATGTGCACACAGTGTATAGGGCCTACCAGACTGAATATATATTGATCAGATTGCCTAGGCCCTTATATGACATAACTGTTTGTAAATCTAAAGACAGCCAGACAAAATCTAAATTGTACAATTCTTCTATATTTATCATAACTATGTAGTGCAGGGGCCTACCTAAATGATCCATTGGAAATATAGTTAATCAAGTAGGCCTTCACACTATGTACATAGTTAGTCTAAAGGAACAGTAATGTGTATTGCCATCTTAGCGGAGATTGTTATGGTCTTCAGCCATTTGGCATTTTCTTACTTAGATTGCAAAAAATAATATAAAGTAAAATTTAATTGGTATGGGCAACAAGAATCTTTTCTAAAAACATATAAATGGGGGCTATTTCTTACTTCGTTTGTTACACGTTCATAATATTGCCAAAACTTTTTGCAGCAAAAAAACCCCCTAAAAACTATTTTGTTCTCCTTCTTGTACAATTCTTTAGATATTTTCGAATATTCGATAGTTTCATGAACTGGGACAAAAATGTTAGACTGTGATACCATTAAAATAATACTGTTACCGATACTGACAGATTTCCATGTGTTAAAGATTATGTAAACCCAACATTTCCTATTCCTGATATGAGCCTGCTGTACCATGCACTTGTATGAAATACTATCCTGTTCTCTTTGTTTTGCTTCCTTTGTGTTAAATTGTTGGTGTTCCAGCCAATCCCTCTGCTCTCCTATTACAAACTGCCCACACTAGGTAGGAGAGCATACTGTGGTTAGTTCTCTAGTTGTGCTGGGAGGTAATCCAATGATCAGACTTGTGCTGACATGCCCCCCCACCATTGCATAGCCATTCACTGGGAAGATCAGTGTGATGCTGTTTCTCCTCCCCATCAGCTTTCTGAGCCCCACCATTGCATAGCCATTCACTGGGAAGATCAGTGTGATGCTGTTTCTCCTCCCCTAGCTTTCTGAGCTCCTGCTGCAGTGAACAGATGGTATGTGATCACTAATAAAAAGGGAAATTTTTTTATATATATATGTATATGTATATATATATATATATAATATATATATATATATATATATATATATAGGGGGGCATATATATATATATATATATATACACAAAAAACAGTTTTGCCTTTCATTTATATTTTTAAACTAAATGGGTTGGTTTACAAGGTAAGGAATTACATATATACTTTTTTTGCCTATTACCTGCTTGCTGGCACCAAACTGGCAGTTTAGGTACACCACTGGGCTTGATCCACCCTAAAACTTTCCTTAGCCCTTCAATGGAGTGAGTAAAGGATTGACTACCTGCTAGCTCTTACCCATGGGGAGATTTCCATTCATCACCTATGATGGCCAGGTTCAGCTGGCCTTAAAGTACATAATGTTTTATACAATGCATCTACTCAGGGATGTGGAATCTCTGCTCACAATTCAGCTTTGTCTAGATAGCACAAAATATGGGGGACATATTGTTGCCAAAGTCACATACAACAACTAAATCTTGTAAAGGAGCAAACCTTGCCTTTTCCCACCCAGAAATAGAACACAGTTTTGAATGAAGCACTTTGCTAATGCAGGGTATGTGGTCTATTTCACTTTTAAGCTTTTTTAGTGACATTATTATACACATTTTCATTATAGAATATGAAGTCCTAAAAGAATAATGTTTTTTATTTTGCTGGAAATATCCTGCTTCTTGAACACATTTACATACTCTATCACCCTAGTATTCTCTTGCCAAGAAAAAAAAAAAACAACAACAAGGTCTTCACGATCTTGGTCACGTGGTTACCAAATAAACTTACTGAATCTTTCAAGAATTATTTATGCCAACTGAAAGTATCAAACATGGTCCATTTAACTGAAAGCAGAGCAATGGAAAAATAACTTGAATGGAAACAGAATTTAATATAAAATAAAACTAAAAAGGAAAACATAAAACAAATGTTTGGAATAAAATTAAAAAAAAATGATGCATTCACAGATTATCAAGCCACTGCAACTTCTTCAGGCATTCAACTGTTTGTTATGGTAAATATTCCGACAGTAGTCATTTAGCAGCAATGATTCGGCAATAAATAACGCGTTGTGTCTCAGTCCTGCACAAGAATTGCAGCCACACTGACAGCTGTAACCTACTGGCTCTAACAGCAGAAGAGACCTTAAAACCGACTGTACAAGCTTTGTCACACTGTGACAACAAATATTAAAAAGAAAAAAAAATATATATAGAAATCTGCAGGCCTGAAATAAAACGACCCCACTGTAGGCAGGTCAGTTTCAACAAACAGATAGTCCTTAGTCCACCAGAAGTAAAAGTTGCCATAGAAGCTTCCAATGTACATATGAAACTGTGATAGGAAAAACATCTTAAAAGAGCATGCTCTGTCGTCTGTTCTTGCCGTGCCCTGCAAAACAACAAGGAACAACAGCAAATTTATTCTGACTGAATAGCTAATTAATAACAAAATATATAAAAAGTTTAATTTATAATATTCAATAATACAAATGTACAGGTAGGCATATCCACTCAAAAAAAAATGTATTATTAAAGCGGAGCTCCACCCAAAAGGGGAAGTTCCGCTTTATTGGTTTGTCCCCAGCTCCCTATTAAGGATTGGCACCTTTGGGGAGCAGAACCTGAATTTGACAGGTACCCGCTCCCACTTTCGCTGTGATCACCTAGGAGATCGCAAGCAGAAGTTGTCCCCCCCCCCCACTCCCTTTCAGTAGTCTTCTGGGACACGTGACAGGTCACAGAAGACTACAGGGCCATTCACAAAGCGCAGCGCTTCTCAAGCATGCGCAGTGGGCATACGGCTGTGAAGCCACAAGCAGTCACAGCCGGGTGCCCACATTAAAGATGCAGGCACCAGGGAGAGAAGATGGCCGGTGAAACCAGCGGTGGTGAGGAAACCGCTGGACCGAGGGACAGGTAAGTGGCTGTATTTTAAAAGTCAGCAGCTACAGTCTTTGTAGGTGTTGACTTTTATTTTTTTTTTTCAGCTGGAATTCCACTTGAATTTCAAATGATAAATCATTCACTGGACATATATGGATACTTTTTTTTGTCACATATGTGCAGTATAAACAGTTCCATTATTAACGAGCAAGAATCACTTGACCCTTTTGTTAAAAAAAAAAAGGGCAAAACTGTTTTTTTTTATTTGTGCCCATTACCTGGACAAAAAAACAAACTGTCCAAATGATGAATATTCCAACAATTTTTCTTCTAGTGTATGACATAAGTTAGATGGCTTTTTATAGAGGGCTCTATTTACCTTAGTACCTGTACTCCAGAACTGGCAAAAAAAAAAAAAAATCACCATTTAACACTGGAGTCCTAATGACAAGAAAAGGAATTTGCAATGAACACAACTGGGAGGTGTTCGTACCTCCTCCTTTATTGTGGTGTCCATGTTGAAATTTCACTGCTTATTATTTTCAAGTGACCACAGAAGAAAGCAAGGGACTCTCTCCAAAGGGGGCACAGACCACAAAAAAAAAAAAAAAAAAAAAAAACAAATACAAATACAACAGGTACATAATCCTTCCAGTCTCTACTAATAAAAAAAGGATTTTTCTGCTGTGTAATCTCAGTGGAGAAATGACCCTTATTTCTTGTCCCATTGATCACACAGGAAGTGATGGGAAAGTCCCCCCCCCCCCCCATACCCTGATTAGGAAAAGAAACTGAGAAATTAGTAATAATTCTAACCCCCCTTCCCCTAATCTATCCAAAGTTTACAAGAAGTTTGGCCTGGGGTTGCACTAGTTTAGGAGGCAAGCAGGGACTGGAAAAGCTAGACTGTGAAATTGTCCAAACACAACTTTGGAATGAAGAAGCCATCAAGAAACTGGACCCTGAACACCATGTACATAATTGTTCTTTGTATTCTTGTAACTTTACAACCACCCAAGTTAAATGTGGGAAGTAAAGATTGTACAAATAAAAAGACTTCTGGGGGACTTAAAAAAAACAATATCAATGTGTGTGACATGGTAAATCATCTCTGTTTTAGCCTTAACAATTAAGGTGATTCCAGTGAGCTGAAAAAAAAAAAAAAAAACAGCTATACATGGCTCAGGTTTTTTTTGTTCAGCCAATAGGCTGAACAAAAAAAAACAAACCTGAACCAATTCTCCCATTCACACATTCAAGAAGGATGGGTGAATCCTCCCTGCTATGCTATCGTATTATGACAATGGGAAAACTCCTCCCACTGTCAGAATTCACAGACCAGAACTGCAGCCTAATGCTTGGAGAGCGGATGAAGCAGCTATAACCCAACAGAGCATTATTAGGAACTAAAGCAGACTCCCTCAGACCGAGTCTCAGCAGCTAAGGGCTCAGAGGCCATTGGCAACTCAGATACAGAATCGGCAGAGGAAGGCACAAGAATACACTCATAGGCTCTGTGGTCAAAGTCAGAAAATAACTGGAGTTAACTGGCCAAGAAGTCTTGCATGATTGTAGTAAACTCCTCTTCCAAGATGGCAGAGGACCCAGCAACACCCGATGGAGCTAAGGAAGACTCCCAGGACGGAAAAGACTCTAGTCAAAAAGAGCAACATGTATCCTGGCTGTATGGTAGACTGTGAGCACCCCCATCAAATAATTTTACAGCTTGTTGAAAAACCATTCTCTGCAGATGGCTTTTTTTCCACAAGTATTATCAGTACAATTATTTTGAACACAATATCTGCAGATACCTGCTATTGTTAATTGTACAAATAATAGCAAAGTGCAGCTTTATACAGATATTAGAGAATCACCATGAAAATCTCACTCCAGTTCATTTATGCTCATGAATAAAACAAAAATTCCCTGCATTTCCCTAATCCAGGCATGTCCAAAGTCCGGCCCGCGGGCCAATTGCGGCCCGCGTTCCGGACTGAAACGGCCCCACAGGTGAGCTACCCAAATATATAACTTACGGCCCCCGGTAGTGATTCCCTGAAAGCTACTGAGGACTCCAGCGATCTCTTGACATCATCAGCTGGCGCAGGGAGGAGAGCCCAAATCTCGCGACATCCGAGATCTCGTGAGATTTGGGCTTTCCTTCTCTGTGTGCCGGCTGATGACGTCAATTCCCGCTCGACAGATCCCTGGAATCCCCAGTGGCGTTCGCAGAATCACTAGTGGAGGGCCGTAAGTTATATTGGGCAGCTCAATATAGTTATATATTGGGGTCCGGAACGTGGGCCGAGGGATCCCAGGTGGTGCGCAGGGAATTACTACTGGGGCTACCATTTACCATTATTTACTATGTCTGCAGTCTCTGGTCATCTCCTGTACTGTCCGCAGTCTCTGGTCATCTCCTGTACTATGTCCGCAGTCTCTGGTCATCTCCTGTACTATGTCCGCAGTCTCTGGTCATCTCCTGTACTGTGTCCGCAGTCTCTGGTCATCTCCTGTACTGTGTCCGCAGTCTCTGGTCATCTCTACTGTGTCCGCAGTCTCTGGTCATCTCTACTGTGTCCGCAGTCTCTGGTCATCTCCTGTACTGTGTCCGCAGTCTCTGGTCATCTCCTGTACTGTGTCCGCAGTCTCTGGTCATCTCCTGTACTGTGTCCGCAGTCTCTGGTCATCTCCTGTACTGTGTCCGCAGTCTCTGGTCATCTCCTGTACTGTGTCCGCAGTCTCTGACCATCTCCTGTACTGTGTCCGCAGTCTCTGACCATCTCCTGTACTGTGTCCGCAGTCTCTGACCATCTCCTGTACTGTGTCCGCAGTCTCTGGTCATCTCCTGTACTGTGTCCGCAGTCTCTGGTCATCTCCTGTACTGTGTCCGCAGACTCTGGTCATCTCCTGTACTGTGTCCGCAGTCTCTGGTCATCTCCTGTACTGTGTCCGCAGTCTCTGGTCATCTCCTGTACTATGTCCGCAGTCTCTGGTCTTCTGTACTATGTCCGCAGTCTCTGGTCATCTCCTGTACTGTGTTTGCAGTCTCTGGTCATCTCCTGTACTGTGTCCGCAGTCTCTGGTCATCCCCTGTACTGTGTCCGCAGTCTCTGGTCATCTCCTGTACTATGTCCGCAGTCTCTGGTCATCTCCTGTACTATGTCTGCAGTCCATTGGTTCAGAATTTTTTTTTTCCTGTTTTTTGCCTCTAAAACCTAGGTGTGTCTTATGGAGCGAAAAATACGGTATCAATTTGGGCTATAATGGATTGGTGCTCAGGATCGCTTGACGTCATCAGACAGTGCAAGGAGAAACAAAGCCCAAATCTCGCGACCTCCGAGATCTCGCGAGATTTGGGCTTTCCTTCTCCCTGTGCTGGCAGAGTGATTTAACACCTGTTTAGATTTGTCATCCAAGTCACAAAATGAAAAGTATGCCGTTTTCAATAAACTTTTGCATAAAATAGTTCATTTGCATTTAATGTTAATGGTTCATCAGAATGTCGGGCAAAATGGTCGGCCCTCGCACATGTTCACTTCATCAAATCTGGCACTCTTCCAAAAAAGTTTGGACACCCCTGCCCTAATCCAACAATGTACCTGTCTCTGGATAGGAAGAATTTCGAAAGCCGGGATCTTTCTGCAGCTGGACATCCTTAAGACTGAATATTGATATATCTAAAAATGTGAAACATGAAATCAGTGCACGAATGAACACAAAGTTATTGCCTTGTTTTTGGTACCTGTTAGAGAAATTTCCAATACTTCCTGCCCTGACAGCTAGTTGAGGGAAAATCTTACCACTAAAGTCAAGACAGCAATAAAAACCTGACAGATGCCCTTACCCCTGCCTTGCTTTATCCAAAAAAAAAAGGAGAAATGCTAAATTTTAGAGTTGTCCCAGAGCACAAACTCAACCCCAATATGTAATCTTAAAGTGGAAGTTTATTCAAAACCTATCTCATGCTAAACCTACTCTCAGTGACATTCTAGGCCTAATCCATCTAACCCTGTAAAGAAAAGATCGCTAAACTTACCTATTCTGAAGCTGATCTGGTCCAGTCCCAGGGTGAGCTGTCAGCGGTGGCTTCTGTGTAGAACACGGATGCCACAGTCTATAGGTGACATAATCTCCCAGCCGTTGTTGGCTTTCTCCCTCTACACAGAAGCCACTGCTGGAGATCAGACCTGAGGGGCTTCAGAATAGGTAAGTATAGCAAACGTTTCTTAGGTTTAGAATGTGGCTGAGAGTAGGTTTAGCGTTTAATTAAACTTCCACTTTACCACCTAAATACTACTTCAGTCTGTGTCCCGTTTTGTTTACTCTATGCAGCATTAATAAATTCTTCTAAAAAATGGTCATTAAAAGTAAGGTGAGATACACAAAGCCTACCTTTGTAGTGGAGTAATAAAAATGTGCATAAAGACTAGAAATAATCCATGTTTAAATATTCAATTTTCAAAAAAAACCTCAGATGTTGTATGACCAGGAAAAGTTCACTACAAGGCACGGTAAACTCTTTGTATAAAGACAACCTCTACACTTGAAACTACATACACCATACTGCATAGGTGTTTGTTATAAACAGTAAAACGAAGGATTACTGCTGAATGCGAGTTTTTCCAGAGCACCAGTTTGGAAGAAAAAGTAATTCAGCACTTTAAAGTGGTTCTAAAGGCTCAAGGTTTTTTACCTTCATGCATTCTATGCATGAAGGTAAAAAACGTTCTCTGTGCAGCATCCCCCCCCCCCCCCAATACTCCCCTAAGCCCCCTCTTGATCCAGCGATGTGCACTGGAGTCTCAGCTATCCTGGGACTCGCTCTCTTCATCGGCTGAGACAGAAGCAGGAGTCATTGGCTCCCCTGTCAATCACAGCCTGTGAGTAAACGAAAAGAGAGAGGGGGGCGGGGCTGAGCCGCGGCTCCGTGTGTGAAGGTGCTCCCATGGCAGGCTTCTTGCTGTGGGGGCACCCAACAGGAGCAAGAGGCCAGGAGCACCAGCAGGGGACCCAAGAAGAGAATCTGGGCTACTCTGCGCAAAACCGCCGCACACAGCAGGTAAAAAAGCTTTTAGAATCATTAACAATTTATGAAATTAAGGAAATAGGATGATCAGCAAAGAGTGGATTTTTTTTTTATCAGTATAGGTCCACTATAAGTCCCTTGATAGAATGAATTAACACTTTTATATTCAAACATCCAAAGGAAAAACTAAATTCCCAGTAAATACTAAATTCTGTTATATTTTTCAATTCTAACGTAAAATGTTGTTAGGAATTCATTTAATGATCTTACTTTCTGGCAAGCTATACATTTTTGTTCCAAGACTTCTGAAGTAAGCATGTTTCATAGCATCTTCTGCTGAAATCCGCTTCTTAGATTCATACTGTAAAACATGAAATGGTGTTATAAAACACTGCAGAATCTTAAGGTCAAAGCTGCTACTAAAGGCATAAAATCAAAGCTTCTTATGGGAAATGTATAGACTCAGACCCCTACATTTGTGTGGGTGACACAAAAAGCACTGCATTTACTGCAAACAACTATTATTGGGCAAGCAGTTTGCTAAAGATACCAGATACACGTAACAGACAGACAAGAATGGGGCATAAAGGGAAAGAAGAGTATCCCGGTATAATAGTTAAAAGTCCAACACTGTTAAATGTGAAGTATTTTTTTTACCTAGTTGGATGCCACATCAATCCATTGTTGCATCTGTCCCCTTCTGGCGATAAGGCTGAGAACTAAGTGATCAAACGCCACTGATCGCTCAGATCTCCCTGAAGCTCTGAGCAGAGAGCGGAGTCTATCAGCCACCACTGTCTGCTCTGCCCCTTGCGCTGGGCTGTGGAGGGGGCAGTAGGGGCTGGTTTAGGCATGGGTCCAGGTTCCCAGGTTAGTTCCAACCATACGGTTGCAATCCTTTCAGAGTCTGGACTAGCTCTGTGATGATAATGGTGTGAACCTCCCGCATTCACTAGTGTTCAACTCTATATATAAAGAAGAGAAGCTGCTAACATTAAATCATATACCAATGATTACCATAGACATATAAATAATAAATTATAATGTAGCGCTACTCACATAATAAACAAGTGCATATAAATATATGTACCAAGTGTATCAATTAGTGAAAAAAATACCAAATCAACTATTGACCAAGTGATTTCATGCAAAAATCCAAACAATTATATGTGAACACAAAATGTGATGGTGATATATGAAAACAATTGATGCTGATCAAAAAAACAATCTTCAACAATAATTATAATGACCTAAATCATATGGAAAACATATATATCTCTTTATACAAATCCATTCAGTGTAAATAATATATAAAATCACGCGTGCATATAGTGAACATACTATAGTGGAACCACAATACAAAAACAACAAAATCAGTGCTCTTAAAGTCCAATATATGCCGATGGTAAAACTTAGATGACACACACTCGTGCTGATATTTGTGTGCAAGTGGATATGACAATCCGACCACCGTCTGGATAAGCCTCTCACCTTATAGCTTCGACCCTTGCGGGTCAAAGCGCTTTACTGGATCCTTCTCACGGATCCTCCAAATGGTCGCTCCTTGTCGCACCCAAATCCCTCAAGGGGTCAGCACTCCACTAATGGCTCCTCTCCAGGTAAGATTAAGTGTAGCACCAATCTCTCATGTGAGACATAAAATAGATCTGACATATATTACCGCAGGATCTATTTTCAAAAGCGAGATTCCCAGCAAAACCATGTTTGACATTTCAGCGCAAGAACCATAAGCAATTTGTTATCACATAGCATGCAAGTTCAACACAAGTGTGACACTTTTTTCACTAATTGATACACTTGGTACATATATTTATATGCACTTGTTTATTATGTGAGTAGCGCTACATTATAATTTATTATTTATATAGCTCTGTGATGGCTGTCGGCTAAAAATGGGTTACAGGAGTTCAGAATGAACTGCAATCCTGTGATCCACAGGAGAAGTACAGCCAAACAAGCATTGGCTGTACTTCTCCTTAAAACAGTCCAATAGCACTTGTGGCAGCCTAATCCTAAGTGTAAGAAGCAGTCTTTGTAGATATAAAAAGAAACAAGGAAAGCACCATCTAAGTGCAGCATTAAGAGTAGAATTATTAAACTCACATGGTAAAAGATAAAAAATGCCCATTAAAATATCATAGGCACCACAAACTCCCAGTCCTGAAAATCCCACCTGATAGAGAGGAGTGCAACCGCCCGCTGCTGGAGAAGAGCTGGAGCATGCATGCTCCTTCCTCAGGCCAGCCTGAGAAAGGAGCACACATGCAATGTAACACGTAGCCATGCCCCCAACCACTTCTCCTTTCTGGAATAACGTGATCCCAGCTTCCACCCCATGAGTTGCAGACTAATTACAGAGGCTCTAATTGGCGTTTCCAGCTGTGTTCCAGCAATGTGTAGCTGCACTCCTCTTTTCCGGGTGGGATCTGCAGGACTGAGAGTTTGTGATGCCTGTGATATTTTGATGAGTGTTTTCTTGTCTTTTAGCATGTGAGTTGCTAATTTTGACTTTAATAAATACTGGTTTTAATGCTGCACTTAGGTGGTGCTTTCCTCGTTCCTTTTTTTTTTACAAGACACAATATAAGTCTTGTACTAAAAAAAAAATGAACACCAACAAAAGGTATACACTATGATACAACACTGGTCATTGTAATGCAACATGGTGAAATCAGATAAGAGTTAGTAATCCAGCAACAAACAATTTTTAATGCAGATTTCTAGCAGCTACGGATGCAGAAATTCTAAAACACCCCTTTTTTTATGGGTTGCTAAAACTCTTCAGATGCAGAACTGTGATGGGAGAGGCTACACACGGAGGATAAGGTCATCAATTGTTATTACTATATATGTTATTATTACAAGATTTTGAATTTATTTGAGATCCCCTGAGATGAATTTAAGGTAGTATGCTGTAAGGGAGGCCCAACAACTGGACTGATGTCTCAATGAGCACCAGAATGATGTGTAATCAGCCTATCTTCATCCTGTTGCTTTGAGATTTAACCTAATGAAGGGCAGTGCAAGCTGTTTTACACTTCCTAATCACAGAAATCCTCCCAAAGTGTGAAAATGTCTGTGAAAATTAACAGATGAAAATTTATTAAACCCGCACATGGAATGACACTTACCTGCTCAATTGTTTTAGGTAACACAAGCTCATCCAAACTTTATACTATATACAATTTTTCAATTGTTTGGAAGATTGCAGTGCTTACAAATCAGTGAGCCAATCTAATTAATGGTTTACCTAACTGCCGGAGGTTAAGGAAACAGTTCTTTCTAAGGGCACACACAGGTTCTGACCAAAGCAACAAGGACTTTTTAAGCCTTCTGTTCAGGCAACAGGAATTGTGATACAGGGAAGCATGGTAGCACTTCAGAAATGTTTAATATACTGAATTTAATTATTTATAATGGGTGAATGCTGACAGGCTGAATCACAGTGATATATTCTATATCTCTTAGTCTCTGGTAGCAAGTTCCTTGCTCCACTGGCAGCTACAGGAGAAGCCATACTTCTCTATCCAGAAAATGAAGATAATTGTTATAGCACCTACTTGGTAAATGTATGTAATTCAAAGATTCCTTTCCACAGAACTTCAATGACTTTCTATACTGATACAAATATTTATTTTTTCTTCTTTGGAGCCATGGAATAGTACCGTACTTTGCTTTTCATAAAGAATTTTTACCTCCTTATTTAGCTGGCTGACTACCATTGGCATAAATCTCTACAGGCCTCAAGCTGAAATTTCAGGCAATCTGTTGCATGTAACAAAGAGTGCTTGGCTACTTCCACTAAATGATAGAACCTATCATTAACATTCACATTGCTATTTGTGTTCAAACATAAGGCAAGTTGCATGGCATTGCACAGGTAAATGTATGACCTATGTCTGTAGTTTTGGGAACTGACACTTCCTGTGAAGAAACTACTTATCCCACAATCCCTGGGTATCTCAGTCTACTGCTGGTGCAGGTGAGAGCTAGCTAGCTACCAGTAACTGGATTAAACACAAGACACAGAGTATTCACTGATAGCTTACCATACACCTGTTTTTTGAGGGTTTTTTTTTTCATTACATTAGCACTCTCACATTTGTGATGCGATACAGAGTTGATAGCAAGGCATGCATTGGATGCTGCATGACTGTTTATGTTCTACAGCTTCTATGAATGAAAAAGGACTGATGAATAGAGAAGGCAGACCTTTCAACCACCTACGCATCCTCCATTCATGGAAGCTGTAGTACCAGCTTCTAAAAATGGAGCAGCTGGGTGCAAAGGGTGGGCATAGTCAGGCATTCTTGATGACAGCCTGTGCCAGTCCCTTTGTTCTATTAACCCACGCCACACCTGAAAATGATGGCGACATGAGACGGAGGAGGATTCCATCTAACAGAAAAGACATCAGCACATTGGTCACATCCTACTGACTTATTTGGCCACACTTAAGCTTTAATTAGTTTGCATGCACTCAAACATTTAATAAAAAAGCATTGAACACAATGTTCTTACCTGTAGAAATCGTGTTAATAACTCAATTCCTTCAGAATCTAACCTAAAATAACATATACAAATTAAATGCTGGCACAATAAAGACATAACATTGCAGCTATCACATGCAAAATCTAATTGAAGAATTACAATTTTTCATAAACTGTTGAGGTAAATAGCCCTTGCACAAGTTTGTTTTTAAAATTAAAGTATAGCTAAAGGTACAACCTCTTTTTTTTTTTTTTGTTAGTTGTGGACAGAGTGGAGACTGATTAGAATGCTCGTCAGTTTTTATTGTGGTTTGTGCCCCTGTAAAGGAGATTTACCCTCTCTATTTGTCCTGTTTACCATTACTAGTAAAAGCGAAAGTAAAAGAAAAATCCCAAATTTTGGGTTGTCTCCAGAAAAGTAATAGAAGGGAAATCTTCCAGTTCTAGTGACCTGGGGGTCCCCAAAAAATTCTCTTAATTTTCAGGGATTTCCTCTCACTTCCTGTTTGGGTATGGGACAGGAAGTGAACAGAAATCTTCACAATGAGACACAGATGGCAAAAAAAAAAAAAAAATCTGACAGGTGTTATAAGCCGTCCTTGCTCAAAAAAATGAAAAAAAAAAAAAGTTTTGCCTATAGTTCTACTTTAAGGGTCTTGCAATTTAGCACAGTACATCCTGGTTGCTGTGCAGAACAGTGTTAGGCTGGCTATAGGTGTATTGAAATTCGCCTGGTCCAGCAGGAATCAGACAAATGTTGGTCTGTGTATCCCTCTCTGTTCAACAGAAGCCAATGAATAGACCGGCTTCTGTGGAACAGTCCTGCTTAAAAAAACAGCATCTGAACAGCAACTGCAGCTCTGATCAGTGTATTCTTAAGAGGGTTGGGAAGTCTCTGCTGTCAGAATACAATAGCACAGCAGGGAGTTTTTTTTTTATTCAACCCGCAGGTTGAATAAAGAAAAAAAATGAATACCCAGCTTAAGGGCTGTCAATATGTACATATCCATTCATGCCTGAACTGTTTTTCTCCCCCACAGAAGTCAATAGGCAAAAGCAGCATATAGTAGTTTGATGTAGCTTTGGATGGGAAGTCAGAAGGATATCAACTGCAGGTCAAATGCACCTGACATTGAACTCTGAATGATTGCAGAAGTGTTTCAAATGGATCTCAAATGCAAGTGGAAAGCACCAGAAAGCAAACTGCATTTGCCCACTGAAACAAGTCCAAAGCCTGTTGCCACAGGATCTAACAGATGTATGTGGTGTTTGATAGCTTGACAGCTGTGGCAGATTGTCATTTATGTCAGGGGGAGATTCGTTAGCACAGATAATCAGGGGAATTCATAAAGAGTGTCATAGACAGTCTTTAGAATTCCAAAGTGTCTTCACCGGTTGAAGACAGGCACATGAATCTGGCACAAGCACCACGTGTTGGATCGCACTGAGACTGGACACTGGCTGCAGTGCTGTGTACTGAAAAAAGAAGGATATGCACTACTTTTTTCTTTTTCTTTCGAACAGCGTGTTGTAACACATTACTGTTTTTGCAACCTTATTGAAATGGCGCTTTTAATCTGCATCACAATGCTTTGCTGTGAATAAAATTAATGAAATGTCACTTTGTGACTTTACAATACAATACAAACAATCAGTGCAATGTGTTGTAATCATCACATCTGTGCTGTTTACTTCTAGTAGTACAACAGGGTCACTCGTGTAAAAGGGCCCTTAAAGGAAATCTTTTCACAGGCAGTAAGCCGTTCTAAAAGCCGGGGAACCTGCTACTTATACAAACTGCACCAGGTGTATATTCTCTCATCATGAAATATGGGAAAGATAAAACAAGTTTCCTGAACAGCTTCCTCTTCCCCTGAATATTGTGTAAAATAATGAAAAACTGGTTTTAGAATACATTTATTCGATTTGTTCTCTAATTTGATCCTGGAAATCTTTAGAGGGGCCCGAGAACACATTAAAATAAATCTCTTGATATAAGAAACCTCAATGTCCCTCTTTGCCCATTTCAAATGTTGGGGACTTGTGAGGTCTCTCACTGTTGCCATGGTAACTACTTGGGATTCAGAGAGCTGCATACAGGCTGCCTTTGCATGGTAACAGAAAGCTACATCTAATTTACACTCCAAACATTCTATCGGTGGATATTTGCAGTCTCATAATGATCATCGAAAACATTTAATTAGTTTCCATCCCAAAAACAGCTTAATGTTTCATTACACAAATATATGCACATCTACCAAAAACATAAATATAACAAAGCTGACATCACACACAAAGGTGGGTGTCCTCAATCTTTTTTCATGGATATCCAATGAAAAATGTAATGGGAGATTTTATAGATCTGTTTATCTACTTGCTGAGACGTCACAAAACGTTTCACTATAATATCAATGTGCTGCGCTAATAAAATGTGTGTTATAATCAACGATGACCAGTGTGATAGTAAAAGAGAAAGGAAAGATCATTAAAAAAAAAAATAGAGAATAGTGAATACTCCAATTAAGAAACAAAATGGACGGTATAACAAATGAAAATATATAAGTCCTCTAAATATCATAATAGTCCCAAAAATAGTGATGTGATCAAATCAACAAAATGTAGTGACTTCTGTGACTTCCGCACTGCACCTCCACCATAATGCACTCACCAGAAGTAAGTAGCAAGCAAGCCCATAGCGGAATGACACTAAGGGGTGTTACTGCTTGTTCCTCCTGCCGGTGACCCGGTTGAAGGTGGGATCTCTCCAGAAACCAGTGATATACCAAATGATCAAAAGTAGAGTAGCCAAGTCTCCAACTCCAGCCTACAGTGAACCAAGGAAAGGGATTCCTCCTAGAGGGCAAGCTCATAGACCGAGCCCGGAGACAGTATCATATAGTGTAGTATGGTTTATTAAAAAGATAGCAACTGCGTGGAGCATAAAATCATCAATGGATAAAAAGCACTTACAAAGATGGCTGCCGGACCATCACGTGGATGCCAGCACGTAGGCTCCTCCCTGATGCGTTTCGTGCGCACGCACGTTCTCAAAGGGATCCACCGCCTAGGTCCCGTGGCCATCTTTGTAAGTGCTTTTTATCCATTGATGATTTTATGCTCCACGTGGTTGCTATCTTTTTAATAAAACATACTACACTATATGATACCGTCTATGAGCTTGCCCTCTAGGAGGAATCCCTTTCCTTGGTTCACCATGGGCTGGAGACTTGGCTACTTTACCTTTGATTGTTCACTTGGTGTATCACTGGCTTCTGGAGAGATCCCACCTTCTACTGGGTCACAGGCAGGAGGAACAAGCAGGAACACCCCTTAGTGTCATTCCGCTCTGGGCTTGCTTGCTACTTACTTCTGGAGAGTGCATTATGGTGGAGGTGCAGTGCGGAAGTCACAGAAGTCACTACATTTTGTTGATTTGATCACATCACTATTTTTGGGACTATTAGAGGACTTATATATTTTCATTTGTTATACTGTCCATTTTGTTTCTTAATTGGAGTATTCACTATTCTCTATTTTTTTTTTTTAATGATGTTTCCTTTCTCTTTTACTATCACACTGGTCATCGTTGATTATAACACACATTTTATTAGCGCTGCACATTGATATTATAGTGTTTTGTTTCGGTGGAGACAGAGGGTTTGCCACGTTATGCTAGCTGCTTTACTTTTTCCTTTTTGTCTTAAGCTCACCATTTATTTTTTGGTCACAAAACGTTTAACGATGTACAGGTATTATTATTATTACATCGAGTTTATATAGCGCCAAAGGGTTTGCTCAGTGCTGTACAATAGAGGGGGGGGGACAATACTTGAAACAGTACAGCAACAACAAACAGCACACGAGGTATAAATGGAAGTAATTATTTTTATTCTAGAAAGGTTAGAAAAGAAAACATGAAAATATAACATTTTTCCTCTCTTTTGTTTTCAGTGAAAAAAAAATTAATATGTTTATCTGAATTATATAAAAACATCCCAATGCGATCTATACCTTGGTGCGTGATTAATAAGTGGTTGAGGTTTGTACTTGGGAAAGTTGTAATTTCGGAATTCATCATTTGAAGAAATTCCTGACCAGGTTTCTTCTGTTGGAGTGCCTGAGGAAAAATAAATCAAAAGTAAAAATGTAGCTCAACTGAACTAAAGTAAACTTGTCCCAAACCTGTGCGATTCAAACTGAAAATATGAAATCTGAAAAAAAAAAAAAAAAAAACCTCCCTGGCAGTGGGGCTGTGTCCTTCCCACAAGTATTAACTGCCAGGTAATGGGAAAAGCACTATTACTTACCGGATCCTCTGCTCCCCTATGCTGTGGCAGTGGACTGTTCCTCAGCACCTCTACATCTAATGCAGGACTATGTGCCCTGTTTCATTCTTGGTGTCAGAGGACCTTAGACCACCAGAGTGCAGGGAAGTTTATGCTGCAGGGAGCAGCAGTGCTGAGGATCCGATGCACCTGGCCCACCTAGACATAAACAAACAGCTAATCCTTGCAGTGCAGGTGCAACCCCACTGCAAGGGAGCACTATTAATTTTCCTGGCGTTCAGCTTTAGAGCTTGTTCACACCACAATTTCAGCATTCCGGACACATTTACATACATTTTTGATGCGTGTGATGTGGTTATTCTGACACGTGAAAAACCTTTATGTTCATTAGGACAATGTGCATTGTGGTGCATTTACATAAGTTTTGATGCATTCCAGACAAAAATGCAGCAGGTTTTACTTTTATTGAAAACACTGGAACTGACATCACTGGTGTGAACAAGGCCATTTAAATAAAAATGCACTGGAAAGCACCTGGTGTGAAGCAGCCCTTAAAGAAGAATTCCAGGTATGGATATTTTATACATTGCTACATTGGTCCAGCTTGGACCAATATAACCATGCATATACCAGACCTAGTAGATCCCCCTGGAATAAACCTGCTACTCCAATGATCGCCACTTACTTCCGGGTTCCATGCCAAGTGGCTGCCCTGCTGCAATTGTAAAAAAAGAACATAGGCTGCTTGGCATGGGTGCCAGAGAGTGCTTTGCATTTAGATGAGGTGAAGAGGTGGGGGAAGTGATAATAAGCTCTGCCCCTTGTCCCCCCCCCCCCCCCAACAAAATTGTTGCATGATGCAAATAATGTCAATGCAATTTGTATACCATCACTAATAAAATACTTGGAGGGTAGTTGCATGGCATGGGACCGGAAGCTAGTGGAGATCAGTGGAGTAGCAGTGCCTACTTCATTGATTTCCAGCTTCCAGGGGCATTGCCCAGGTATAGTATAAATATAGTTGCATTGGTCCAAGCTGGACCAATGTTACTTTATAGAATATAGTCACGAGTGGAATTCATCCTTAAGTTATATGCACATTTCTACTTAGACTTAGACCTTCTTCTGTTTAGTGAAACTTAAAGTGGGATTTTACCCATAACAACTTGATAATGAAAAAAATTGTTCTTTAGCTCAAGGAACATACATTACACATTATTAATTATGTTACCAAAATTACTATGTGCTGCAAACTGCCTTCAGCTTTGTCCCTGTTTCTTCTTGCTGAAGGCTGCCATTTTGCTGAAGCCCAGAGCCACTGAGTAGCAGTAAATCTTTAGGTTGTCAACAAATCAGCCACTACAAATTTGGCACAGAGACAGTACTGGATTTTTAAATATAGGCACTTATTTGGAATATTTTGCTTTACCTGCAAAAGGGGCAGCCTTAAGTGATCTAGCAGGATTTAATTTTCTGACTTAAAACAGGATAAAACTAAAATGTACCTGATAATTTAAATTTTTAAAGCTGTCACATTAAGCTGACCACATATGCTACAATTTGATTGTGCGATCTTCTGATCCATGAACAATGATATAGTGCAAGAGTCTGTCAGATTTTATACAAACTGAAAAGAACAGACAGGCCCTAACATTACTTTTTTTTTATAAATCTAAATAATACTGTACAATGGTTGAACAACCAAATTGATGTATGTATGGCTAACTTTATTCAATTATGTTGACATTCACACTACCAAGATGTCGGTGATCCTATGGAGATGGCAGAATTAGACTGCACCATGGAAGGTCGGCTTTAGAGCAGACACAGCAGGCTGCCTGCTATTACATTTGCTACTGAACAATATTTTACTGGCATTTGAGGCAATTTTTTTGCCAGGGCTTGGCTTTGCTGTCAGGTTACTAAAAAAGGGAAACTAGTTTTAGAGGGACCCACAAAGGAAGGTGTTAGCAGGGCCAGTGCTACCACGAGGCAAACTAGGCAGCCGCCTAGGGCACACTGCCACCTAGGGGAGCAGCCATGGCCGTTGGTTTCTCTACTCTACGCCATGGCCGGATCTAGGATGGTGCTGGGATGGGCTTTGGGTAAGGTGGTGCTAGGAGGCGGGATTGGGAGCGAATATGATAGAAGGAGGGAATTTGGGTGGGGAGGAAGGATTTTTGCTGGGAAGGGTAATTTGGAGGGGGTTGAACTAGGGGGTGGGACTGAAGGGATTTATGCTAGGAGGGAGGATTTGGAAGAGAGGATTTGTGCTATGGTGGAAAATTGAGGGGAAAGAGGATGGGTGCTAGGAGGGGTGAAGTAGAATTTTGAGTGAAGTTTTATTTTTTTTTTGGGGGGTGATGAAAGGAGCCGGTCTTGCCTAGGGAGCAAAATAGTCTAGCACCGGCCCTGGGTGTTAGGGTTGACAAAGATATTAGCAGAACTTTCTAAACATTTGCAAAGCTTGAGACTGTAACTTTAAGGTTCTGCACCCCTGCTGTTTTGGTTCATACTCATTTTTGTAGGGCACATGTTACCACGAAAGCAAAATAACAGCCCCCAAAGTAATGGACTTCATCTTCTTGGTATTCTGAGCATTAGGGTTTTCTGTGCTAAGAGAAGATATTCTCTTATTTCAGGAGAAAGATCAATATATTAAATATCTCTGAACATTATAAAAAAAATTATAACATTATATAAATATAACAAACAACATTTTACAATATGTACAAAACTATTTCTATCCTAGGTCAAATTAAGAACGATTTGGCATTTCAAAACAAACCAATAATAGGATTCATCACAACATCTATATGTGGCTGCTGACAATTTTGTTTAAATTGCACAAAATATGACACAGTTCAGCATTACTGTAAGAACTGAAATGCCCCATAGGGACATCGAGCTATCATTTTGCAGTCACATTTGATATATTTCAACTGTGGTAAATATCTATCGCACAAGAGGAAAAAATACTCAGAATGCGGCACATTCACATCTCTCTGTAAACTCACGATCAAGCAAAAGAAAGAACTAAAGATAGCTATTGATTTTTTTTTAAAGACCCCACACAGTATACAGCACTCAAATGCACGGATAAAGCCTGCTTCTAAATAGTCTCAGATCCTATTGGCAGAATACAAAAAATACTTGCAATGTGATGTATAGTATACCCCCCCCCAAAAAACAAAAAAAACCAAAAACCTATATACTAATATAAGCATCATTTACCTAGAAGCCTGAAAATTAAATGAAGTTCATCTTCTACAGTGGACCCAGGAAACAGAGGTCTTCCAGAAGCCATCTCAAAAAATATACATCCAACACCCCTTTTGATAAAGGAAAAACAGAAAATTAAAAACCTTAAATTAGTGCAGTATACAAAATGAAGACAACAGCAAATTGGCAAACTAGGTTTGACATATTTACACTTTTAATGATAAAAAACAAGCATACGATAATAAAAAAAAACTGACAAATCTCTTAAAGCCTAAATGATTAACCATTTTCCCTCTGGAAGATTTTACCCCCTTCTTTATTTTTTACTGTCTGCTATAAAACATAACCAAAAAAAAAAAAAAAAAAAGTCTTCATAAATTTAGGCCAAAATGTATTCTGCTATATATTTTCTGTACCAAAAATCCCAGTCAGTGTATATGGATTGTTTTGCACAAAAGTTATAGTGTCTACAAACTATGGGACGCATACTGGAATCTTTATTTTAATTATTATTTCTTTAATAATAGTATGGCAGTGATAAGTGACTTCTAGTGGGGACTGTAACAGTACGGCGGTCAATCTGACACTTTACGGGAACCAATGACAATAATACAGTGATCTGTGCTAATAATATATGCTGACACTGTACGATTGACATTGGTAGGGAAGGGGTTAGCATCTAGAGGCGATCAAAGGGTTAAGTGTATGCCTAACAGTGCTTTGTGTGTGTAATTTTACTAGAGGATGAGCCGTTTTTTATTCCCTGCTTTACATGGAAACACAAATTGGCACATCCCCGCTGACAGGGCAGAGCTCTCTATAGTTTACATACTTAGAGCTCTGTCCTGTGAGCGCCTTCCCCAATCACCAGGTTCCAGCCATCAATCATTGGCTGGGCACGCTGATCAGCTAGTGCTATGTCTAATCACAGCATAGTCTGGGTGGCGGGCAAGTGCACCCCCCTACCCGGAAGAGCTGGATTACATACTAGGTACATGATCCAGTGCAGGAGAGCCGCCTTGCTGCCACACATGGAAGTGATGTTGTTGGCAAGTGGTTAAAGAAGAATTCCAAGTATGGGTATTTTAAACATAGTTACATTGGTCTAGCTTGGACCAATGTAGCTATGTACAGTATCTCACAGAAGTGAGTACACCCCTCACATTTTTGTAAATATTTTATTATATCTTTTCATGTGACAACACTGAAGAAATGACACTTTGCTACAATGTAAAGTAGTGAGTGTACAGCTTGTACAATAGTGTCTCTAACATCCACCAGCTCCGTGATGTTGTCATGGAGGAGTGGAAGAGGACTCCAGTGGCAACCTGTGAAGCTCTGGTGAACTCCATGCCCAAGAGGGTTAAGGCAGTGCTGAAAAAATAATGGTGGCCACACAAAATATTGGCACTTTGGGCCCAATTTGGACATTTTCACTTAGGGGTGTACTCACTTTTGTTGCCAGCGGTTTAGACATTAATGGCTGTGTGTTGACTTATTTTGAGGGGACAGCAAATTTACACTGTTATACACTCACTACTCACTCACTACTTTACATTGCAGCAAAGTGTCATTTCTTCAGTGTTGTCACATGAAGAGATATAATAAAATATTTACAAAAATGTGAGGGGTGTACTCACTTCTGGGAGATACCGTACATACCATATCTGGCTAATGCCACTGAAAGCTGGAAATCACTGAAGTAAACACCACTACTCCAATGACCCCTTCACTGACCTCTGGATCCTAAGCAACTATCTTGCTGCACTGTTAACACAGGAGGTTGGCCACTCAGCACAGGCACAAGTCAGAGAATCTTTTGCATTTTCTGAATGAAAACATTGTCTTATTGGACAAAGAAGAAGCGCAGGGTGGTGATGTCATGCTATTCACCTCGTCTAATTGGAGAATACTTTTCAGTTTTGCCTTAGTTACAGTGGAAAGAAAGTCTACACACCCCTGTAAAAATGTCAGTTTTTTTGAAATGTAACAAAAAAAATAAAAATCAGAACAAAATAAGTCCCTTCTGAATTTTTTTTTTCCACCTTTAAAAGGAGAAGTACAGCCAAAACATGTCACTTCTGTGACCCGTTCTCAGCATCCCGCTGATGTCACAGAGCCAGTGCAGGGTGGGTAAAGATCGCAACCATATGGTCAGGATCCACCCAGCACCTAGCTCAACCTGGACCAGCACCTAGCTCAACCTGTCAATGAGCAGCTGAGAGCCTGAGCCAGCCGCTCCCACCTTCTCCACAGCCAGGGGCTCCAGTTTGGACTGGGGAAGGGGGAATTTGGGCAGAAAGAGCAGATAATGGTGAAGGACAGTAACTGCTCTCTGCTCAGAGCGGTGAGAACTGAGTGATCAGTGGTGTCTGATTGCTCAGTTCTCAGACTTAAGAGTTGTCAGGGAACAGATGCAGCATCGGATTGATGCTCTATCCACCTAAGAACGTTTTTTTTTAGAAGAAGAAAAAATAAAACCCATAATCCCATACTTCTCTTTTAATGTGACCTATACGCTGTACAATTCAATTGAAAACAAACTGAAATTGCTTAGTGGCGGAATAAATAAATATTAAAAATAAAATGTAGTTGCGCAGGTGTGCAGAATTGACCAAATTCTAACTGATGTGAAATCTTAGTGCCATCAGTGAAAGGGACTCTGATTAAACCTATATAAAGTTCAGCTGTCCTGGTAGGATTTTTCTGAGTTAATCAGTTGCCCCCCCCAAGGGGGAAGGAGGGAGGTACCTAGTTTTGGTAGGTATCCACTCTCACTTCCATTCGGATTGCCCAGGCGACCCCCATCCTCCCTGCCCGCAACCTCTTGGGACATGTCACAGGTCCCATGAGGCTGCGGGACCATTTACGACGAGCAGCGCAGCTCGTACATACACATTGTGAAGCCCCAAGGAGTCGCAAGACTGCCAAAGAACTGGCCCAAGTGAGGATGGCGTTGGATCCTCGGACAGGTAAATGTCCTTTTATGAAAGAGCTACCAGCTAAAGTGTTTGTAGCTGCTGACTGGTGCCACCCTGAAGATCATCTTTAATGCATCAAGCAGTAAGAGGACCATTTGTGCGTCACAGATTAGTATTGTAGGGCAGATTTAGGGCCCTTTCATACAAGGAACTGCATGTGAATCACACAGGAACGCTGTGTGGCTCCTGAGTGATTAAATGCAGTTCTGTACAGTGCAATTTCAGTCCTATTCATTTTGAATGGGCAGAAATCGCACCATAGCGCACCAAAAGTAATGCATGCAATACTTTTTGACATGCACTGCAAATGGATCGCATGGTTCTTTTGTACCATGAGATCTGGTGTGGGCAAACGCACTGCGTTTGAGGAGTTGTTAACTTTGCTCTGACACCTACAGCAGATCGCAAGGGCAGTGTGACTGAAACGTGGTGCGGGAAGCTGCATGGGTACACGGCTTTCTCACACTGCATACTAGTGTGAAAGGGCCCTTAAGGTACCCAACCTGGCAACATTTTAATGGGCTCTGCAGCCTAGCTACACCACCAATGCCTTTAATAATTCACATGTGATGCCTGGATGTGTCACTTTTGTCTTTTCAAACTCAACAGAAACATTGTTAACTTTCAGCAGATATCTAGAAATAATTTCATAGCTAGAAAACTGCAGAAAAGAATGTACTTGCCAAAATAGGGTTTGTAAACAGATTGTATGAATAAAGATGCATTGATATAAAGTGTTTACCACATGTCAATTTGCGTTGAATACTCAGAAGACCCGAGGAGGACATCTGGCGGCCTGTACCATAATGTGACAACCTCATTGGAATAGGTTTTTGTAGGAACAGATTTTGCTCTGGCCAAACCTTAGGGAAAGAAAACAATATCACCAATTTGACACATGTATTTTCATGGCAGGAAAATGACTGATCAAGAGCAAAGGCTTGAAGTAACTGAAAATCTACAGCAATAACTCATACCACAACTGTCATCAATTCACTGCCTGTGTGAGGCTACATGACAAAGCCAGCATTGTAAATATTCCGTAAAGGGGTAGACCAGGCAACCAAGCAAGGTGACCCCAGGGTTCCTGTAAGAGCATGTCATGTGACTGTACCATGGTTTACTCATTGCCTCAGCAAACTCTCTGCAGTAGCTGGAATGACTGGGGTGCAAGGATGCTTACTTGGTAAAAAGGGCCAGATCTAGGAGGGTGCTGGGATGGTGCTCTCCCAAGATCTCTTTTGTGCCTCCCCACCAGGTTTCTGAGAGTGTATCCATTGATCCATCAGAAAGTCAGATGGGGGCAGTTGATGTAAGGGGGCACTCTGATTGGGAACCTGATATAAGGGATCTCTGAAGTGAGGGGGAAAGATGGGGGTGTGGGGGAGGAAACTCTGGCAGGTTCCGTTTACTCATCGTAAACCAATGGCAGCCTAATACATACTAGCGTCCCCTGTTAACTCTGGCAGGTAGTGCAGAGGAGATGCCGGAGTGAACCCTGGGTTGTGACAGAAGCACGGCAACTGCACAGGGAATTTTGTTTCCTTTCACCTCTGCCACACTGTATGACATACTGTCAGTGACTTCCACACAATGTTGACATGCCCCCTGATTTTTTTTTAACCACACCTCCAGATCAGATATGCTAGGTCTGGTGCAGTACAACTGGCAATAAACACAAGCCATGGTTGACACTCCTTGTCCTGTATCAGGATGGAAAACTGTGTTAAAGCTTTTTTTTTTTGGTGCTCACCAAAAGGATCTTTTGGGGCATAAACACAGTTCTGCCACCATGCATTAAAAAAAAAAAAAAAAAAAAAAACACACAAAAACATCAGAAATCAGATTTTCAATCAACTTGTATTCCATAATTCTAGGTACAGTATCTACGAAGGTGGAGTTGGAAAATAAACACAGGACTTAAATGTTCATTTAATATTAGAAAACATTCCAAGAGCAATGAACGGCATAAACATAATAAATCTCTTCTATCTCTGGCAGATGGACTTAATCCTTGTTGCACATCCCCACCTCTGTGATTTTCAACTCTTTTCTCATTTAATTTACTATTCTGGGTGTAAAGGACAACGGAGGAAAGCCCACGCTTCATTTCAGCAAATCATCCTCAACAACTGTCATTAGTGTTACATAACTGTAGCTTTTTTGTCAGCAATTTAAAATTATCTATGTCAGAGTCAATCAACTGTGATAATATCTACGATCACAGTCCATTTCATCCTCATTGTTTAGACAGTAACCACCCTCCAGCATCGGTGTACATTAAAATGAAACTTGCCCAAACACGAGATGCTGTGGAAGTGCTTACTGAATCATAGATTAGACTGCTGTACGCATGAAAAAGAGCATCTTAAGCATCACTGTGTCTACAGATGTTCAGATAATGGCTGGACTTAGGGCAGGAAAAACAAAATAAAGTCTTTGCTTTAATCCAAAGTATAAGGAGTAAACACAAAGCAAGCGGCTCTTTCAATTTTACTCAACCTTCCGAAAATCCGCTTCTCTCACCACACATCACTAAATTTTGGTTAGAAAACATGCTGCTCTTGAAAATAGGCCAATGAGCAACAACTATTTTTTGGGGACAATCTCACACACACATACTATACAGACACGTTAAAAAAAAAAAAAAAATACTTCGGTCAGGTAAGAGCATATACCTCTAAGTAAAATAAAGGGGAAAGTGGCATGCTGCTTGTTTGTTTGTTGTGAGAAATAGGCATGGGCACGGAGAACCAAGCAATGATACTCCCAGAAAATACTATAATTACATGCTACCCTTTTACAAAAGGAAAAAAAAAAAAAAAAAAAAAATAAATTCAGGCCCAAGATGGCCACATATTGATGTGGCAAGTCAAAAACACATGACTGTAGCTAACTACTCACCTCCACCGGCACCTTGCCAGAATACCGCACACGTCAGTACTATATAAAGCAGTGAAGTACTGGGGGTAAACACTGGGAATGCCAATACCTACTCTTTCAACTTTCATTTGATCCTTCTCACCCTGATAATAGGACAGCATTAAATTTAGTTTATAACCAAAAAACTCTGGTTTTCTACAACAAATAGAAACTCATTAAATGGCCAGGGACAGTAATTTGAATCTGGTAGGGAGCTGGTGTTCCTATAAAGTGGTGCAACACATCATTATGTGTGAAACATTATCACAGCTTATTCGCATAAGTGGACTTTTATTTTGCACTCTTTATGATGGTTACACTATATATTATTTGATGACGGTTATATTGTTCACTACAAAAGTATATGTATATACAGTATAAATCCTTTGATATCTTTAAAGAAATTGGTCATCTGATATATTTATTCAGTATATGGTTCAATTGACAATGGTGCTTTGCATATTTAGATGCAAATTTGGTGTGTATTTTAATGAATTCCTTATTTATTTTATTATGGATTATTTGTGTCACTTGATATAATTGTAAAAGGGACAACACTCCTAATGTTTCATTCATCATATATTTTGTTTGCTAAACTCAGAAACCCTTTTATCAATCTATATTTATTTGTATTCTTTTCTTAACCCCTTGCCCTCCTGAGGGTATATCCTCCTTCCTGACCAGACCATTTTTTGTGTTTTGGCACTGCATTACTTTAACTGACAATTGCGCAGTCATGCAATGCTGCACCCTAATGAAATTTACGTAATTTTTCCCCACAAATAGAGCTTCCGGTGGTATTTGATCACCTGTGCAGTTTTTATTTTTTGCACTCTAAACAAAAAAAGACAGACAATTTTGAGAAAAAAAAAACCAAAACAATATTTTTGACTTTTTGCTATTAAACATGTCCAATAAAAAAATTTAAAAAATCCAAATTTCGTCATACATTTAGTCCAAAATGTATTTTGCTACATGTGTAAATTAATTGGTTTATGTGAAAGTTATAGCGTTTACAAATGGCAGTATATAAACTGGAATTGTGTTTTTTTTTTTTTTTTACTAATAATGGCGGCAATCAGCGACTAATAGCAGGACAGCAAGACTGTGGCGGGCATTCTGACACTGGTGGGAACTGACTTGGTGTCACTGACATCCCCAGTGACACTAATACAGTGATCACTGCTAATAGAAAGCACTGGACACTGTACTAATGTCACTGGGCAGAAATGGGTTAACATCTGGGGTGATCAAAGGTTTAACTCTGTGGTGTTTTACTATGAGGCTGCGTGTGTGCTTTCCACTGTAAGCACACTGCTTTGTATGGCTCTTCTATGCAGAGCCATACAAAGCAGCGTGCAGGAGCAGACAGGGGAGAGAACTGTATTGTTTACACATACTCAGAGATCACCGGGTGCTGGCGAGCAATCATTGGCTAGGACCCGGTGATTGACAGCCGATATTGGCAGCGTGCGTAGGGCACACACCCGGCTCGCATGAGCCCCCTATCCGGAACTGAAAGATCAAGTATATATACGTGATTTTGTGCACCCCTGCCACTCTTTAGCAGTATTTCTGCTATAGGGCGGAGGGGAAGCAGTTAAAGGATAACTTCACCTTTCTGAATATTTTACAAGTTAACACCTCACCTCACAATCCAGCCCCCTTCCTGTGTCAGTGGGTGGGGAACCTTCTCTCTGCAACCACTGTCACAATTTGAAAACATTCACAGAGCTCTGTGAGTGAATGAACTACTGACAGCCACTGCGGCTGACAGCTTGTAGTTCTCAATGAACTACAAGGGTGCTGGTGAGCGCTCTCGTAGATCACTGATCTTCCTGGACTTCAGTAACTGCCTGCTTGTATCGGAGGTATGGGCAGACAGGTATACTGACAGTCAGCAGGAGCCTGGCACTGAATTGCGGGTGAAATGCTTTACAGGCTCCTAAGAAAAAAAAACGCACATTTTTATCTGCAAAAAAAATGTGCATTTTTTTTTTTCTTTTTTTAACGTGAACTTAGCCTTTAAGTAAAATTTGCACATTATTGAACATAGCCTTTATGTAGAATTTGCACAATATTAAGTGGAAGTTTCTCAATCACATAAAATATATTGTAGCTTAGTAACATGGAATGGCAGAGGGATGAAAATAAACACCAACTCTGCTATACCCCAAATTTTCCCAAATGCAAAAATCTTACATTGATACTTGTCATTCACAAACCTGAAACTAAATGTTTATGCCCTCAACCTTTAGTCATCATTTATACCAAAAGGGTTAACAAAAAATACAGAGTATTTGAGGAATATGCCTCACTTCTAGATGGAACTTCAATACATACCAACTATATGTAAACCTGTTTCAGATATCAGTCATCAGCTGTTATATTTATCTTTAGTTTTCAGCTACTAGCATCTAAGTTGAGCAGTGCAGAATATATCCACTGTTTTACAGAAAGTTCTCCTCCCTTACATTTCAAGGACTTGACCTCTAGCTATAGCAGTTGCTATTGCAGAAGTCATGTACTACACTCTACTACACTCTTATGGAGGCTGGCCACAGAAGTCTCTTTAGCTAGAAGACATGTGAGGTGGATAGAGGAATCTTCCTCTCTGTGCCATTGTATTCTGAGAGAGGGACTCCTCCATGGTCAGAATACACTGATCACCGGCTGCAGCTAGCTAATTTTCCAACAGATGTGTTCAACCAAAGTCAATCATTAGAGCATCCATAGCTGGATCGAAATTTGTCTGGTAACTGCTGAGCAATCAGGTTTTGAACCCTCCATGAGCAGCAAAATGGTGTATAACATGTTCTTAAAGTCTGAGCTTCATGTTAAAAATAATCATATACACAAGATAAATGCCAAATCATTGGTACTTTTTTTCCAGATAAGACTTCTATGAGCATCATATGCATAGCACCATGTGATACCCCCAACAATAGTTATTGGGTGAAATATTTTCAGACATCTCCAGATTCCTTTTTACTACATCAATGACCAGTTTTATAGAAAGTTCACAAAACTGTAGAAAGCTTTATCAGACTTAATGAGAGATCAGTCATACATCAGATAAAAAAGATTAGTGCCAAGTAATACCATCCCAATCCATAACATCAGCAAATATAAAATCAGAACTAAAGGCTTTAATTATTCCACATACCAAAATCAGCTAACTTCAGTTCCCCCTTCTCATTGATAAGTAGGTTTTGTGGCTTTAAGTCTCGATGAAGAACTTTTCTTTTGTGACAGTAAGCTAATCCCCTTAAAATTTGATACAAAAATATCTAAAGGAGAAAAAGAATACAATACATAAATGGTAAATCAAGGCTCGTACATGCTAAATATGCTACTGACTGAAAAGCTAGCACATTTCCAACACACACCTGTTGGTGCAACAAAGAAAACATCATTCACTCGAACATATTAATGTCCCGAACACAACATTTTGGTGGTTCCTAAATCTGCCAAGTTGGTAGAAGAAAACAAAGCATAGAAGGCTTCCTAATTTCTTGGATTTTTTTTTCTTTCCCAATCCCACTCTTTTTTTATTTAAGAGTATTTTACCTTTACATTGTGTATACTCATTATATTTCCACAGTCGTCCATATATTGCTTCAAATCTTTGTCCTAAAAAAAAAAAAAAAATACAGTTGCACTAGTTAATGGCTTCTTAGTGTTTAGGAGTGTTTTGTAATAAATACTCTTCCTTAAAGTGTTACTAAACCCAAAACAGTAAATTCAGTCTGTATGTGCAGTAAAGCATGCTTGTTAAACTCACTGTGGAAACTAAGGGGTTAATCCTCTTCACTGTAAAAAGGCTGTTTGATTCTGACTTCCCTTCTTCCAGTGTCCCCCTCTTATCTCCTGATAAGACATGTCGTGTAAAGACACTCTGCACATGCTCAGTTTGGTGTGTATTGCTGGAGGTTTTTTTTTTCTTAGGAAAGTGCAGGTGATCAGCACAAGGCCAATCAGCATTGTCTAGACAGTGGTAAGGGGTTCTGCATCCTCTTAGTGCAGAATGAAAACTCCTCCTACAAGCTTTAACATGTGCTCTGCTAGTCACTGATAGAAGTCACAAGACTGCTCTAACTGCTGATGAGAAAAGGTATTTAGCAGTTTATATTTACTAAAGTAATTGCACATCCATGTTCTGTGAACTGTGGGAGACCAGATATAGTAAATGTAGAGTCCTAGGTTTAGTAACACTTTAAAGACTCATTCACATGGGCAGAAGAAACGATTTGTTTTGATGAGAACAGCATATAGTTTTGTGCACATACAAAAGCAGCATTATAATAAGCAATGAGTCCATATACACAGCTGCGTTTACATGTGATAAATACATACATGTGTAGTCATTCACTGGAATTACAGAATTCTCTAAACGTGAGTACTTAACATGCGTATTTTACACATGGTTTTCTACTACCTCTGCTAGCAAGGACCTGTGTTCCATGAAGAAAATATGCATACATCCTTGTGAATGTTCTCTTAAGCTGAACTCTGGAATAAGAACAGTCACTGCTGTGCTCTCAAATTGTCCTGGTCTTGTATCTGCCCCCTCCTCTAGTTTTCTGCAGGCAGCACATAGTGGGTGGAGGTGTTGGGCCCCTCCCACAGCTCTGTACACATAGTGATGTCACTGCTACTTTTACAAGGTAATGACTGGGTATGCAAAAGCATTTGGCGCATACAAAGGGAGAGATTTGCTAAAACTGGAGCTCTCAGAATCTGGTGTAGCTGTACATGGTAGCCAAATCAGCTTCTAAACTTCAGCTTGTTCAATTAAGCTTTGGCAATAAAACATGGAAGCTGATTGGTTTCTATGCAGAGCTGCACCAGTTTTTTTAAATAACCCCCAGAGTATATTTATATCCATTGTGGCGACTGGGGAAAATATTACACTGAAAGTTTTTATGCCTGGAGTTTAGTGTTAAAGCTACAGCTTATAGTTCCCTTTTCCAGTTCCGGGATCAGTTCATAGGTGGCTATATTTTAACTTTTGAATAAGGAATGGGGCAGGTGAGAATGGATCCTCCCCTGTAAAATTTGCACCCGGGCTTTCTCCTGCATTGAGACTGAACAGCAAAGACAAGTAGTAAAGAGATGCTCACACTTGGAGTTCAGGTTTACACTTTGTGTAGGAGCTAAAGGAGCATGTTATATGTTAGCCAACCTTCCAAGTATAGACTGCTACTTACAGAAGGATGAAGTGACTTTAAATTAAAAATACCCACTGTAAAGGAGATTCAAATGAATCTTTACATTTTATGCTATTACAACCTCTGGCTGCAAAATTTGTATTTCATTGCGGTCACTAAGACTTTCAATACACATGGAAAATGAATACTGTGTGCAACATGTTGAAATCTTCATAGGAATATAATCGGTATTGTCGCTGATTTTTTGCTTGCCTCTACCCAGTGTGCTCTCCTTTGATGAAAATGTGTATATATTACAGCAGGGATCACACTAACAAAAACAATATGGCCTGGAAAGACTAGGAAACCCAAACTAATTATTCTCCCAAGATGCATCTGAAGATCTATGCAACTTGTGACCAGGGGACTGTTTTTTTTATATTTTCACAATTTAAGATTCTTCTTTACTGTGAATTTATGCTTTGGGTTTGCTTAAAGTGGTTCTAAAAGTAAAAAGGAAAAAGCAAGCTATTATCAAGAAAGTTTTGGATCCTTGTGGTCTCTGTTTTGTTTGATACCATTTCTGTTATTCTGTTTATTACGGGATCTGCGTATCAACCTTGTTCTGTTTATGTGTAATCCTGTTGTTGCTGTAATGTCATTGTGGATTCTGTAAATACTGGTCCATTTTCTCTAATATCTTGACAATAAAATTTGTTTGGATTAAAAAAAAAAATAAAAAAAAATAAAAGTTGTTCTAAACCCTAAACATTTTTTTTACTGTAATGCATTCTTTGCATTAAGGTAAAAAGCATTTTGGTAGCAGTATGCCCTCTCACCCCCGTAGTACCTACCTGAGTTCTCACATGATCCAGCGCTGTGACCGTCTGCAGCATCTCTCTCTCACTTCCTGGTCTCACAGGATTTGCTGAGGCAGCAGGAGCCATTGGCTCTCACAGCTGTCAGTCAAATCCTGTGATGAGGGAGCGGAAGTTGGGCCTGTGCCTTCAGGTGTTCCACCATAGGATATAGGAAGCAGCTTCCTATGGTGGCACACTGAGAAGAGGAGGAGCCAGGAGCACCAGCAGAAGACCTGAGAAGAGGAGGATCTGGGCAAGTCAGTGCAAGTCCATTGCACAGAGCGTGGTAAGTATAAACCTGTTTATTTATATATTAAATAAAAAAATCATTTAACAAACTGTACTGGCAAAAAAAATGGAAGCTGTCACGCTGTAGACTTTTGGAATACTTGTTTCAAGTCAAGGACTCCAAGTAGTTTACATAGCCAGACAACTGGTCACGGTAGAGGCCTGTATTTTTCGCACTACAGTTTTTCTTCAAGAGGAGTGTAAATTTGCAGCAATGTTAGTTGTTAAATATAATTTTATCCTCAATAGAACAAATTTATTAATTCACACTTATCACACTCTATCAATATATATATAGATATAGATATAGATATATATATATATATATATAATATATATATATATATATATATATCTATATATATATATATATATATATATATATATATATATATATATATATACAGTTGCAAGAAAAAGTATGTGAACCCCTTGGGATTACGTGGAGTTTTGCATGAATTGGGCATAAAATGTGCTCTGAACGTCATCTAAGTCACAACAATAGAAGAACACAGTCTGCTGAACATAATACTACACAGACATTAGATGTTGCCATGGTTTAATTGCACATAACATGTAAACATTCACAGTGTAGGGAGGAAAAAGTATGTGAGGCCCTAGCTTAATGACTTCTCCCAGAGCTAATTGGAGCCAGGAGTGAGCCAACCTTGACTCCAATCGTGTGATGATATTGGATGTGTTGCTGACAGTTGTCCTGCCCTTAAAAAACACACGCCTGTTTTGGGTTTACTGGTTTCAAGAAGCACTGTCTGATGTGAACCATGCCTTGCAGAAAAGAGCTCTCAGAAGACCTATGATCAAGAATTGTTGACTTGCATGAAGCTGGAAAGGGTTACTAAAGTATCTCCAAAAGCCTTGATCTTCATGTGTCCATGGTAAGACAGACTGTCTACAAATGGAGAAAGTTTAGCACTGTTGCTACTCTCCCTAGGCGTGGTCGTCCTGTAAAAATTACTGCAAGAGCACAGTGCAGAATGCTGCATGAGGTAAAGAAGAATCCCAGAGTGTCAGATAAAGACCTACAGAAATCTCTGGCACATGCTAACATTTTTGTTGACACATCTACAATAAGGAAAACATTAAACAAGAATGGAGTACATGGGAGGACACCACGGAGGAAGCCATTGCTGTCCAAAAAGAATATTGCAGCACGTTTGAAGTTTGCAAAAGAGTACCTGGATGTTCCACAGCACTACTGGCAAAATATACTGTGGACAGATGAAACCAAGATTGAGTTGTTTGGGAAGAACACACAACACTATGTGTGGAGAAAAAAAGGCACAGCACACCAACATCAAAACCTCATCCCCACTGTAAAACATGGCGGAGGGAGCATCATGGTTTGGGGCTGCTTTGCTGCCTCAGGGTCTAGACAGATTGTTGTCATTGATTGGAAAATGAATTCCAGTTTATCAAGACATTTTGCAGGAAAACGTGCAGCCATCTGTCCAGCAACTGAAGCTCCGCAGAGGATGGGTGATACAACAGGACAATGACCCAAAGCATACAAGTAATTCAACAAAACAATGGCTGCAACAGCACAGAATACGCCTTCTGGAGTGGCCCAGTCAGAGTCCTGACCTCAACCCAATTGAAATGCTGTGGCATGACATTAAGAGAGCGATTCACACCAGACATCCCAAGAATATTGCTACACTGAAACAGTTTTGTGAAGAGGAGTGGTCCAAAATTACTCCAGATCGCTGTGCAGGTCTGATCTGCAACTACAGGAAACGTTTGGTTGAGGTTATTGCTGCCAAAGGAGGGTCAACCAGTTATTAAGTCCAAAGGTTCACATACTTTTTCCTCCCTGCACTGTGAATGTTTACATGTTATGTGCAATTAAACCATGGCAACATCTAATGTTTGTGTAGTATTATGTTCAGCAGACTGTGTTCTTCTATTGTTGTGACTTAGATGACGTTCATAGCACATTTTATGCCCAATTCATGCAAAACTCTGCGTAATCCCAAGGGGTTCACATACTTTTTCTTGCAACTGTATATATATATATATATATATATATATATATATATATATATATATATATAAATATAATAATATATATATATTTTTTATTGTTTTTGTATATTTTACCAGCTCTATAACCATGATTTTAAACCATGTCCTTGTTTACGGATGTGCATCCATTTACATCTAATTACCTCCAAGTCTGTTAAGGTTTAAAAAAAACCCAAAAAAACTTCAGAGCACCAGATTTGTACAGTATTGAGCCTAAAGGAGGCAGAAGAGGGCTTGGGTGCAGAGCAATTGTACTTGCTGTGTGTATTCCTGGGTTTCCATGGCAACAGAGGCAAAGCATATGTCTTGCAGTGATTGTCATCAAAATGGTGTCTGTGTGATGGATCTAAAAAGGGAGTAGAGCAATTTGCACCTCCGCATTATGACACCAACAGCTGCCTGCGGATCTACCCCATGCCTTGCACTAAAAATGCGGTTGTGGCCTTCAATAAAATGGCGGTTCTCATTTTGTTGAAGACCACTGCAGCCGATAAGTAGTGCATGTGCTTGGAACCAATTGTGAGGTCATTTTACAATATGGCACTTGGATATACTGGCGCCGATTATTCAGAAACCAGAAACAACAGTTTTAATCTCTTTTGAATGCTTGCAGGTCTTGGCTTCTATTGGGCAGCAGACAGCCATACAACCTTCTGACACTGTACTAACTGACCAGAAAGAGAGTAAGACAGTGATAGCTCTCCATCTAACTATATGTTTTCTTTATTTTATACAACTATAGGGTGGCAAAAACTTCAGATTAGGACATGATATACACAGTACATACCAGATATTCAAAAACAAGAGTCAACGATTTGTCCGTGTGAACAATGTCATGTAATGTGACAATGTTTGCATGCTTCAGGTCCTTTAATAACGAAACTGCAAGAGAAGAGAGAAATGTTTATGACATTTCAGTGGAACTTAACACATTTCATGTTCACACCTCTAGTGAACTATGAATAAAATCTCTGATACAGCTTTGGTAGAGCAGAGTTTTCTGAGAAATAAGCAAAAAAGATCCTCTATAGATGGATCTGCCATTTCACATAGCGGATAAAAAGGGTGTAGAAATACAATTTCAAAAGAACATTTTAACTGAATTAAAAAAATGGAAATTTCTTAAGGCTGGGTAAGGGAAGGGACTATATATAAACAAGAGAAATATAATACATGTATGTTAAGTGGACTGCATTCTAAGGGAGAAAACTGATTGTATTTTTTCTGGGAATTTCTGTTTGTTTCCTACAACCTTTGTATGGCCACATATATCTACGAATTACAGAATTGCCTTCTAGATTTTGTCCTCTCTCTCTACAGGAATTGAAGTCTCAGTGTCAGTTCACATATATGTGGATTGGATGCAGTTTATTTATTTCAGGTACTTACAGTCAGGTCCATAAATATTGGGACATTTACACAATTCTAACATTTTTGGCTCTATACACAACCACAATGGATTGAAATGAAACAAACAAGATGTGCTTTAACTGCAGACTGTCAGATTTAATTTGAGGGTATTTACATCCAAATCAGGTGAACGGTGTAGGAATTACAACAGTTTGCATATGTGCCTCCCACTTGGTAAGGGACCAAAAGTAATGGGACAGAATAAGAATTATAAATCAAACTTTCACTTTTTAATACTTGGTTGCAAATCCTTTGCAGTCAATTACAGCCTGACGTGTGGAACACATAGACATCACCAGACGCTGGGTTTCATCCCTGGTAATGCTCTGCCAGGCCTCTACTGCAACGGTCTTCAGTTCCTGCTTGTTCTTGGGGCATTTTCCCTTCAGTTTTGTCTTCAGCAAGTGAAATGCATGCTCAATCGGATTCAGGTCAGGTGATTGACTTGGCCATTGCATAACATTCCACTTCTTTCCCTTAAAAAACTCTTTGGTTGCTTTTGCAGTCTGCTTTGGGTCATTGTCCATCTGCACTGTGAAGCGGCGTCCAATGAGTTGTGAAGCATTTGGCTGAATATGAGCAGATAATATTCCCGAATCACTTCAGAATTCATCCTGCTGCTTTTGTCAGCAGTCACATCATCAATAAATACAAGAGAACCAGTTCCATTGGCAGCCATACATGCCCACGCTATGACACTACCACCACCATGCTTCACTGATTAGGTGGTATGCTTAGGATCATGAGCAGTTCCTTTCCTTCTCCATACTCTTCTCTTCCCATCACTCTGGTACAAGTTGATCTTGGTCTCATCTGTCCATAGGATGTTGTTCCGGAACTGTGAAGGCTTTTTTAGATGTCGTTTGGCAAACTCTAATCTGGCCTTCCTGTTTTTGAGGCTCACCAATGGTTTACATCTTGTGGTGAACCCTCTGTATTCACTCTGGTGAAGTCTTTTCTTGATTGTTGACTTTGACACACATACACCTACCTCCTGGAGAGTGTTCTTGATCTGGCCAACTGTTGTGAAGGGTGTTTTCTTCACCAGGAAAGAATTCTTCGGTCATCCACCACAGTTGTTTTCCGTGGTCTTCCGGGTCTTTTGGTGTTGCTGAGCTCACCGATGCGTTCCTTCTTTTTAAGAATGTTCCAAACAGTTGTTTTGGCCACGCCTAATGTTTTTGCTATCTCTGATGGGTTTGTTTTGTTTTTTCAGCCTAATGATGGCTTGATTCACTGATAGTGACAGCTCTTTGGATCTCATCTTGAGAGTTGACAGCAACAGATTCCAAATGCAAATATCACACTTGAAATTAACTCTGGACCTTTTATCTGCTCATTGTAATTGGGATAATGAGGGAATAACACACACCTGGCCATGGAACAGCTGAGAAGCCAATTGTCCCATTACTTTTGGTCCCTTAACAAGTGGTAGACACATATGCAAACTGTTGTAATTCCTACACCGTTCACCTGATTTGGATGTAAATACCCTCAAATTAAATCTGACAGTCTGCAGTTAAAGCACATCTTGTTCATTTCATTTCAAATCCATTGTGGTGGTGTATAGAGCCAAAAATGTTAGAATTGTGTTGATGTCCCAATATTTATGGATCAAGGAGTGTACAATCTAAGGTCTCTAACTCACATTCATACATACACATAGCATTTAGGCATTAGGTCTTCCCCAACATGCTGATATACAGTGCTTTCTGAAAGTATTCACAGCGCTTAACTTTTGACACATTTTGTTATGTTACAGCCTTATTCCAAAATGGATTAAATAAATTTTTTTCCTAAACATTCTACAAACAATACCCCATAATGACAACATGAAAGAAGTTAATTTTGAAATCTTTGCAATTTATTAAAATAAAAAAAACACATGTACATAAGTATTCACAGCCTTTGCTCAATACTTTGTTGAAGCCCCTTTAGCACCAATTACAGCCTCAAGTCATTTTGAGTACGATACTACAAGCTTGGCACATCTATTTTTGGGCAATTTCTCCCATTTTTCTTTGCAATACCTCTCAAGCTCCATCAGGTTGGATGAGGAGTGTCGTTGCACAGCCATTTTCAGATTAAGTCGGGTTCAAGTCTGGGCCACTCCAGGACATTCCCAGAGTTGGCCCGTTGCCACTCCATTGGTATGTGGGCTGTGTGCTTAGGGTCATTGTCCTGTTGAAAGATGAACTCTGTCACCCCAGTCTAAGCCCAGACGTCACCCCAGGTGGGCTGCCATTTGCCTTTTACTGAGGAGTGGCTTCCATCTGGCCACTCTACCATACAGGCCTGCTTGGTGGAGTGCTGCAGAGAAGGTTATTCTTCTGGAAGGTTCTCCTCTCTTCACAGAGGAATGCTGGAGCTCTTTCAGAGTGACTATCGGGGGCTTGGTTACCTCCCTAGCTAAGGCCCTTCTCCCTCGATCGCTCATTTTGGCTGAGCGGCCCGCTCTAGGAAGATTCCTGGTGGTCCCAAACTTCTTCCATTTACGGATGATGGCGGCCACTGTGCTCATTGGGACCTTCAATGTTGCAGAGATTTTTCTGTACCATTCCCCAGATCTGTGCCTTGATACCATCCTGTCTCGGAGGTCTACGGACTATTCCTTGGACTTCATGGCTCGGTTTGTGCTCTGACATGCACTGTTAACTGTGGGACTTTATATAGACAGGTTTATGCCTTTCCTATTCATGTCCAATCAACTGAATTTCCCACAGGTGGATTCCAATCAGGTTGTGGAAACATCTCAAGGATGATCAGTGGGAACAGGATGCACCAGAGCTTAACTCTGAGTGTCATGGCAAAGGCTGTGAATACTTATGTACATGTGTTTTTTTTTTCGTTATTTTTAATAAATTGCAAAGATTTCAAAACAAACGTCTTTCACATTGTCATTATGGGGTATTGTTTGTAGAATGTTGAGTAAAAAAATTAATTTAATCCATTTTGGAATAAGGCTGTAACATAACAAAATGTGAATACTTTCTGAATGCACTGTAGTTATTGCTGGCAGGGAAATGGGTGCTGAAATGCTAGGGCTACCAATAGGTAAAGCCAAACATAATGTGACTGTATTGACAGCCGGTGTTGCAAGAGACCAGTTAAGCTAAGTTTACCGTTCTCATACACCGACAGATTTTTTTTTTTTAGTGGCCAGTCACAGAAACCGTCCAGTTCAGTTACCACTGGATAACAGTCTCAGAATTGTATACTTGCATTTCTCCTTCTTCTCTCTACAGCAGGGGTCACCAAACCTTTCAGTACGAGGGCAATATCATATATCATAAAAATATTAGATTGTTGGAATGGAAAAGAAAAACACAAAAACACTTGGGTTTACTTGGGTTTGAGTGATCAGCATATTAATATTAATCATAATATATAATGATTTAGAATAAAAAAAAATCTGAAAAACAAAGCAAAGAAATTCTAAATAAACTTGTCCCCATTAAAATTACCCTTATATCAGAGTTGCCCTTACATGAGAGACTCACCAACAGAGTCACCCCATACATCAGACTCCTCCCTAGAGTCCCCTCTTACATCAGAGGGCCAGTTTAATGTTTTGCAGGGGGCCGGATTTGACACATGGACTATGGTTGGGAGACCAATGTTCTAGAACTAAGTCCTTGCACACTAAAGGATAACTGCACAACTAAACGTACTGGACACTGTATTTTGCAAAACAACATGCACAAGGTCAGTTGTTGACATCAAGTAGTTCAGGTTGGTCTCAGCAGGTATTTATGAGAAGCATAATGTTCATAGTGTTACAAAAGTCTGGTGAGAACCTATGCCATTATTTTGTGATGGGAGGGGATAAACTGCCTGTGTATGTTAACTTTGGTGAGCTTTCTCCCTATATGGGAGATTGCTAAGTAGCATTTTATTATGAAACTACCAGCCCCAGGACACTGCACAAGCCTTTTAAGTGTTTCTATAGAGCAAAAGCAGGCACCATTTCAAATCACACATACAGCAAGGCATAATTACATACAAAAAACAAAAACACAAAAATTTTTTAAAGCAAAATATGCATCCTGCCTGCACAAAGAATTAATGTATTTCATATACCGTATTTGCCGGCGTATAAGACGACTGGGCGTATAAGACGACCCCCCTACTTTTCCTGCTAAAATGTAGTGTTTGGGCTATACTCGCCGTATAAGACTACCCCTCTTCCAATGCACACCAGTGGGAGGAATAGTGCCCCATCATTGATGTCAGTGGGAGGAATAGTGCCCCATCATTGGTATCAGTGGGAGGAATAGTGCCCCATCATTGGTATCAGTGGGGGGAATAGGTGCCCCATCATTGGTATCAGTGGCAGGAATGGTGCCCCATCATTGGCATCAGTGGGAGGAATAGTGCCCCATTATTGGTATCAGTGGGGGGAATAGGTGCCCCATCATTGGTATCAGTGGCAGGAATAGTGCCCCATCATTGGTATCAGTGGCAGGAATAGTGCCCCATCATTGGTGTCAGTGGGAGGAATGGTGTCCCATCATTGGTGTCAGTGAGGGGTGGAATAGTGCCCCATCATTGGTGTCAGTGGGGGGAGGAATAGTGCCCCATCGTTGGTGTCAGTGGGGGGGGGGGAATAGTGCCCCATCGTTGGTGTCAGTGGGGGGGAGGAATAGTGCCCCATCGTTGGTGTCAGTGGGAGGAATAGTGCCCCATCGTTGGTATCAGTGGGAGGAATAGTGCCCCATCATTGGTATCAGTGACACCAATGATGGGGCACTATTCCTCCCACTGAGACTTGCTGACCCTGTTCTCGTATGGTGCTGCTGCAGCCAGCATATGTGGTTGCAGCAGCACCTCTACACAGAGCACTTACCTGCTGCTCCGGCACTCAATTTTCGCGGGGCCGCTCGGCTCCGCCCCCTCGCCGGTGATTGGCCGCCTGTGTGCCTTTCCTGAGCTACAGTTCTGGCGGCCAATCACCGGTGAGGAGGCGGAGCCGCGCAGCCGCACGAACATCCAGTGGCCGAACTGAAGGAGACGCCGCGCTTCCTGGACCGGATCGTCGTGGGACTGGATCCAGGTAAGAGACGTCAGCCCCTGCAAACCCCTGTACTTAATGCCGCAGCCCCCCTAACATGTGTACCGGCGTATAAGACGACCCCCGACTTTTGAGAAGATTTTCAAGGGTCAAAAAGTCGTCTTATACGCCGGCAAATACGGTATTTGTATATATAAATGCTCCCTCAGATGGCCATCTTTCTATAAAACTTTAGCATTACGTTTGCCACATTCAATGACCACCAGTCAATTCATAATAAAATGTGCTCATTTCTAACAATCTTTTCCTTGAAAATGACTGTTTAAACACAACCAAGAAGTAGAAAGATTTTCCTGAATCTGACAGGCCAGCACTGTCTTTTGAATTAAAATAATTACTTATTGACTGATCAACAACCTACTGAGAAATGTGTTTCTTAAAGATAAGATCTTCTTTAATTAAACATTTGTTAAATGCAATAAAAACATAATTACATATTTAATCAGCATTACCTTTACCCACAGCTATTTAGTGCAAGGGTCCACCTGATTGGATATAAATTGAATGGATTGCTTAGACAGGTCATCACACTATATAGCTGTTGGTAATTCTAATGCTCAATGACTACACTGCAGCTTCAATAAGGGCTAAAACATGCAGTCACTGAAAACTCATTAGCTATGATCAATGCAAGCCTACGCCAGGGTAAGAATATTACCTTCTCTAATGGCTGTACAAGGGGCACCTTCTTCATGTTCCAAACGAATTTCTTTCAATGCTACAAGGTTCTCGGTCAGTTTACTCCTTCCTTTAAAAACTGTGGCATACGTGCCCTAAAAGAAAAAAAAAAAAAACAAGCAAAACGTTTATTTAAGCAAACTAATTTAAGCTGTCAGAAGAGAAATCATAGCACCAAACACATGAGATAGATGTTGAGTGGGGAAAGCAAAAAAGCAAAACAGATGACTGGAAAAAAGTAAACCAGAAAAGGGATAACAGCTGTCTAAAAACACAGGTTATATGCAGTTTATGCCGTCACCATACAATGCAGCCACGCTGAAAAACAATCTTCAGTATGCCCCATGAGTCTAATGTGAGCAAACACCAATAGTCTATTACAAAGAACGTGGGCAAGGTAGAGAAATAGTGTAGTATTCCCTTTCCTGCTTTCTATGCCATAATATATGCAAAAGAGGCATTAAAACAGATCTTCGCCCTCAGGCAAGACTTCCCTCCTCTCCACTCCTCCGCTGTCACTTCCCCTTTTCCCCGGTATGCCTTGTGACACATCATCAGGAGGCGTGCCGGCTGAACTAGGAAGATCTGGCGGACCTCTTGATAATGTCATAATCAACATGCTGGCATGGGACCGAGAGGTGGCAGAATACAAGAGGATCTCAGCGGGACAATGCTGGATACTCTGGGTGAGTATCAGAAATGTGCACAACAAAACCCCTTGAAAGTGGGGGAAAAAGGGGGAGGGTGGAGGCGGACGAAGATCTGCTTTAAAAATAACACTAGTAATGTAATAGTTCATTGCACAGCTAAAGATTAGATGCTCTACCAGTGTCTAAGCCACTAACCATGGGTATAGTTTTCATTGAGTCATGAAAAACGTTTTCCTACGGTTTCCACAGGTATGCTGTCCCTTCAGAATGCATGCGCCAGTGAGGTCACCAGCTGCATTGAGTGTGAATATTTCCTAAACCGTGCAAGTTTAGGAAATATTCACTGTACCTACAGGTAAGCCTTATTACAGGCTTACCTCTAGGTACAAGTAACAAAAAGACTTTACTAACACTTTAAATATAACTAGTCTAAACTTTGTAGTTTTGGATAGAGTGGAGAGGGATTAGATCACCTGTCAGGTTGTTATTGTCGTTTGTGCAACCCAGAGAGAGATTCAACCTCTATCTGTCTTGTTTACTGCTATTGCCGCCAAGAGTGAAGGTAAAAGAAATTCAACAATTTGTATTCTAACCAGAACAGGAACAGAGGGAAAATCTTCCTACAGGGACCAAAAAAAAAAAAAAAACTGGCAGGAATTTTTAAACACCTCTTTCTTCATTTCAAATGGAAAAAAAAACATTTTTTTATTTCCTCTCTAAATATAAAGAAGTGTGGATTAGCCAGTAGAGGCAAGGTAAATCAGCCAGTACAAGGACTTAGCTTAAGCTGGCCATACATAGATCAGTTTTTTTTTTGCCAGCAGTAACGGATTCCCTCATCCTCACAAGCGAGATAGATGGAGGAACCCTCCCCGCTGTGCTATTGTATTCTGACAGTGTGAACTCATCCACTATCAGAATATACTGATCAGAACTGCAGCCAATTGACTGCAGCACTGATTTAACAAAATGTTTAGAACAAGGCCATTCATGAGAAGTCAATCATTAGTTTGACTTCTCATGAACAAGAATGGCCATAGATGGAGCGAAATGTGGCTGGTGCCTGCTGATCCGACCAAATTTTGATCCATCTATGGTCAGCTTCAACTGCTGGACAGCTGATGAGATGAGATAAAAATAACAAAGACAGCGATTTGATTTCAGTGAGTCAGCCAACACATACAGAAGATGAACATTGTGAGAAGCAGCAGTAAAGTAGAAAAAGCAGGGCCTATGATTGTAGTGAGAAAATGTGTCATTGTGTGCATATTTAATCATACATTACAAAGAAACAAGGTTTTTAAAACATTAACATGCAGGAGAAAACATTACATACACATCTATAAAGAAAAAAAGACTATACGTTTCCTAAATTAAAGGCCTGTCTAAGAAAACAGAAAAGAAGATCCCAGCAAAAGGCCCTAAAACATGGCACTAGACCCGTAATCTGTACTGGCTGTGCCAAAAAAAACATTAAAACACAATAAAGCTGGCCACAGATGGATCAAATCACAGCAAGTTCAGCAGGAACCGGCCGAGATTCGATCCATCTATGGCCAGGCTTACTGTGACCAAGTTGATCCACCGATTGCCATGGGTACAACCAGCAAGTTGGATTTTTAGTATACAATTTCTGCTGGTGGCTATAGCCGCTAGTAGTAATCGTGTTTTCCCAGCAGGGACCGCTCCCTATCGAATACAATATCTCCGTGGAAGGGATTTCCCATTAACATGGACTGTGTCGATGGGGTAATTGATCGATTTTCTTTCTTGCAGCCCATAGTTACAGGAAAGAAAAATCGCATAATCTATGGCTTGCCTAAGTATAGTGGCCAAAATAAATGATTAGCCTGAACTCACATGTTCAGACCTGTTTTATCCACTTGCCCTTCTGAGGATTTACCCCCCTTCCTGACCAGGCAATGTTTGCGTTACAGCGCTGGGTTACTTTAACTGATAATTGATCGGTTATGCAACGCTGCACCCAAATTAAATTTACGTCCTTGTTTTTCCCACGAATCGAGCTTTCTTTCGGTGGTATTTGATAGCCTGTGCGGTTTTTATTTTTTTGCGCTATAAAAAAAGAAAGACTGACAATTTTGATAAAAAAAAAAACAATATTTTCTACTTCTTGCTATTAACCTCCCTAGCGGTATGATGGGGTCAATATTTCAGTGCTCAAAGCGGTACTTTTTTTTTGTATGGAAATATGTTGTTTTTTTATTGTAGGCCTGTAATTTTTAGGAATAACTCACTGAAATCTGTCCGGACAAGAGTATAGTAAACATCCCGGGTAGGATAAAATTTGAAACACGAAATCATAAATTATAATATAATAATCATAAAAAATAATAATATAATAAGAAATTTAATTCAATAATATAATCAAACCAAAAACACTGAAATTTGAAATATAGCACCAAGTTCGCATATCACTGAGCTTAGTCGCAAAATCGTTTTCAGTGTCTGATGACGAATTTCACCATGAATCATTATCACTCAATTCTGCAAGTGGTTCTGATTTACTATCGCTGTTCTCTAGCTGGTCTAAAACCGCTTTTGACCTAAAGGGATGCTTTTTGGACGCCATGGACGTTTCTCAGTTTCAAGGCAGAAAGAACAGTAAAAATGCAGGCAGGGCACAGGACAAAGCATTAGGGACAAAATGTATGTGAAATGGTTTGATACAGTAATGTTTTACTATGTGATTATAGTGAATTTAGTGAATGTCACTTTTTAAAATATTTAAATTTCCTGCCGGTTCTGGCCCTGTATGTCCTGACGCTCGCAGGGACCGGAAACTGGAAGATGGATGCCGGCATCGGCCGGGAGGAGATGGCCGGCGACACTGCAGGGGGACATCACGGGAGCGAAGGACAAGGTAAGTGCAACAGGGATCAGAGAGCAACGCTGCAGGGTAATCCCGAGTGTAGCTCGGGGTAACCACTTTTGGCACTGATAATTAACCCCGAGCTACACTCAGGAATACCGCCAGAGAGGTTAAATGTGTCCATGAAAAACATTTTAAAAAATCTAATTTCGTCATAAATTTAGGCCAAAATGTATTCTGCTACGTCTTTGCTAAAAAAAAAAATCCCCATACGTCTAAATAAAATGGTTTACGTAAAAGTTTTAGCGTTTACAAATGGCGGTATAGATACTTACATTTTCTTTTTCTAGTAATGGTAGCAATCACCGACTTATAGCGGGACTGCGGCAGGTACTCTGACACTGGGGAAAAACTGACTTCAGTGACACCAATATAGTGATCAGTGCTAAAAAACAAAAGCACTGACACTGTACTAATGGCACTGGGCAGGAAGGGGTTAACATGAGGGGTGATCAAAGGGTTAACTGTGTGCTGGGAGTGTTTTAATAGGGGGCTGTGTCAGTGTGCTTCACTGTAATCACATTGCTTTGGATGGCTGTTAGGTGCACAGCCATTAAAAGCAGTGTGCCCGAGCTGACAGGGAGGAGAGCTGTTCGTAAACAAAACAATTCTCCTCCTCGTCGGAGATCGTTGGAAATCACTGGGCACTGGCGAGTAATCACTGGCTGGGACCCGGTGATTGACAGCCACAAATGGCAGCATGGGAGGGGCACACACGTGGCTTGCGTGTGCTCCCTATGCAAAATCAAGTATATATGTGATTTTGCACACCTGTGCCACCCTGTAGCAGTATTTCTGCTATATGGTAGACGAGAAGCGGTTATTTACCAAATGATTTCAACATTTATTAATGACTCATCAACTTAGGGAGGCAATTTCTCATTGAACATGAAAGAAGAAAAAATCATATCGATCTGATAATAATATTATTGAACATCTACTTCTGAAGGTAAACAAAATATAAGCTGCAAACCTCTCCAAGCTTCTCCAGTTTGACATAGGTTTCCATCTTCCCAAAACCAATTTCAGACTGTAGTAAGGAAAGAAATGAAAAAAAAAAATATTTAAACATAAAGTATATACATCACATTTCTCATATTTGCAATTGTTAAAGTTGAACTTTAGGAAAAACAGTTGTGAACAGGGAGAAATTTTAATGCAGGTGATACTATGGGGGAGAGTTACTAAAACTGGAGCACTCAGAATCAGGTGCAGCTGTGCATGGTAGCCAGTTATCTTCTAACTTCAGCTTGCTCGATTAAGCTTTGACAATAACACCTGGAAGCTGATTGGTTTCTATGCAGAGCTGCAGCAGATATTGCATGCCCCCGCTTTAGTAAATCTCCCCCTATGCCTCTTTTGAATTAAAGTTTCTTTCCTGCCTGTCTGCACAAAAGGCAGAGATAAATGAACTCTCTCAGTGAAAATTGGAACTGCAGCGATTGACAGCAGATGTAATGCAGTTAAAGTACAACTAAACTCAATACCAAAAATGTCATATTTCAGCTTAAAAGTCCTTAAATACAGGGGCTGCATTAGTTTTCTTTTTAAGGCTAGGATCATTTTTGCAAGTACAGAAAAATACCTGTTAATTTTGCTAAAAATGCAATGTCCTTGTCCTGTGAGACCAAGTGGGAGCAGGAACAAGGTCATGTTCCTTCTGGAGACTAGTAATCCTATCATTCCCCCATGTAATGGAGATTAACTTTATTGATATATTATATATCAATGTATTTAAACTGAGAAGGAACTTTAGTTTTCAGATTAAATATAAACATTGGGTTAAAAGTTCCTCTATGTAGGAGCCAAACTTTTTTTTATAAATCCATATAAAAACTATAAATTATAATGGACAATCAACTTGTGCACTTTTTGCATATTTTACTGCATTAGAATTGTACAATTGAGCAACATGCGTCAACTAAATGCAAGTGAGAATATAAAAAAAAAGCAGAACGTGCACTCCTAGGGTTTTCAGAGCTTACCAGTGATGCCCTCCGTGATCGCCTGCTCATAGGTTGATCAAAGGGTGGGCTATTTATCTGCAACTTCTCCAAATACCCATCTGGTATCCTGATGTCAGCCGGAAGTGACAGACGTTTATTTAGGTCCTGACAAAAGACAGCACATTTCACACATCAATTTCATCTTACATACAGTTATACTAAATTCTTCTCATTTAATTCTTCTAATGTAATAAACTGCTGTACAGTTAAAAGAAAAGGATATTGGCAAAATTAACTAGAACTACTTATTTTGGCAAAATGTTTCTTTTGCAAAACAGGAAAAACATTAAAGGTTTATAATTTGCAATCCAAGGCACAAAGGTGTTGAAATTCGATCCCATTATTACAGTATAAAAAAGAAAACTTCAGTGAAATATTTAGGGAATGTGTACCCCCCAGTTCTTCTGCCTAGCTGCTGCTCCGATTGTACTTGCCAGCAATTTCTGACTGTCAATTGACAGTCAGGAGTTGCTGTGTAAATACAGCAATTGTAATAGCTGCTGTCAAAACACAGACAGTTTGACAATAGTGTTTACAAACACTGTAAAGAGACAGAGAGATACAAAGTAACCTTGGTAATTTTTCACATAAACCATTTACTTCATCTGCAGATCAAAGGGATTACATCTGCATATGATGTTAGTTGACAACTTGTCAAGCAACTAAAAAAAAAAAAAAAAAAAAAAAAAAGTGTTTTTCACGGTTGTCCCTATTTCACCCTTAGCTTACCATAAACTGCACTAATTAACTCCTTCCACTTAGCAATTATTTTAATATTCTTGTTTGTTTGCTTTTATTTCATTTTGTTTTTTAATTTTATTTTTTAGTTGCATTAAAAAGCACACAATTTTAAAAAAAAAGTCTTTACTTCATTTGTATTTAACTTAGTAAAGCTTTGTTTGTTTCAGAATCATGATTTTTGTTTTATTTTAAAAAGGGACAAATATAACAATAACATTTACATTTTCATCTACAGTAACCATTTTTTTTTAATAGACCATGACCAAGGCAGAAAACCAGAGAGTTCTTTAGTTTAAATTTTTTTTTGGGTATGAATTGCATAAAAATAAATCATTTTTGCAAGACAACAAAGAAAGCCTTGTTTAATAATATATATCACAGGACGCAGGATGCCTCAGATAGGTCTTGGAAGACAGATATGTTTCCCTGCTATTTGGTATGTGGGTCCCTTTAGGAGAGCTGACCTGAATGTACAGGTGAAACTCGAAAAATTAGAATATCGTGCAAAAGTTAATTTATTTCAGTAATGCAGCTTAAAAGGTGAAACTAATATATGAGATAGACTCATTACATGAAAAGCAAGATAGTTCAAGCAGTGATTTGTCATAATTGTGATGATTATGGCTTACAACTCATGAAAACCCCAAATCCACAATCTCAGAAAATTAGAATATTACATGCAATCAATAAAACAAGGATTGTACATAGAAAAATATCAGACCTCTGAAAAGTATAAGCATGCATATGTACTCAGTACTTGGTTTGGAAGCTATCAGCCTGTGGCACTGCTGAGGTTATGGAAGACCAGGATGCTTCAATAGCGGCCTTCAGCTCTTCTGCATTGTTCGGTCTCATGTCTCTCATCTTTCTCTTGGCAATGCCCAATAGATTCTCTATGGGGTTCAGGTCAGGCGAGTTTGCTGGCCAATCAAGCACAGTAATCCCACGGTCATTGAATCAGGTTTTGGTGCTTTTGGCAGTATGGGTAGGTGCCAAGTCCTGCTGGAAAATGAAGTCAGCATCCCCATAAAGCTCATCTGTGGAAGGAAGCATGAAGTGCTCCAAAATCTCCTGATAGACGGCTGCGTTGACCCTGGATATAATGAAGCACAGTGGACCAACACCAGCAGATGACATGGCTGCCCAAATCAACACAGACTGTGGAAACTTCACACTGGACTTCAAGCATCTTGCAGTGTGTGCCTCTCCATTCTTCCTCCATACTCTGGGTCCTTGGTTTCCAAATGAGATGCAAAAGTTGCTCTCGTCAGAAAAGAGAACTTTGGACCACTGAGTAAAAGACCAGGTCTGTTTTTCTTTAGCCCAGGTAAGACGCTTCTGACGTTGTTTGTTGTTCAGGAGTGGCTTGACAAGAGCAATACGACATTTGAAGCCCATGTCCAGGATCCGTCTGTGTGTGGTGGCTCTTGTTGCACTGACTCCAGCCTCAGTCCACTCTTTGTGAAAGTCCCCAACACTTTTGAATGGCCTTTTCCTGACAATCCTCTCCAGGCTGCGGTCATCCCTGCTGCTTGTGCACCTTTTTCTTCCACACTTTTCCCTTCCACATAACTTTCTATTAATGTGCTTTGATACAGCACTTTGGGAACATCCAACTTCTTTTGCAATTACCTTTTGAGGCTTTCCCTCCTTATGAATGGTGTCAATGATGGTTTTCCGCACAACTGTCAGGTCAGCAGTCTTTCCCATGATTGTGATTCCTACTGAACCAGACTGAGAGACAATTTAAAGTCTCAGGAACCCTTTGCAGGTATTATGGCTTAAATAGCTGATTAGAGTGGGACACTGAGCCTAGAATATTGCACCTTTTCACAATATTCTAATTTTCTGAGATTGTGGATTTGGGGTTTTCATGCGCTGTAAGCCATAATCATCTCTCAATTATGACAAATCATGGCTTGAACTATCTTGCTTTGCATGTAATGAGTCTATCTCATATATTAGTTTCACCTTTTAAGTTGCATTACTGAAATAAATGAACTTTTGCACAATATTCTAATTTTTCGAGTTTCACCTATAGCTTTAGAGTACTGAAGAGTTCTCACCTATGCCGGGTGAAGGGTTACAGCTGGAAAGGGGTAAACTGACTTACTTAGCTCTGATCTGGGATCCAGAATTTAGAAGCTCGGAGAGACTATGGGTAGAAAGAGCCTCCAACTCTGATTACAGGGACTTGGCCCTGAAAGGGTTAATCTGCCTACAAAAGAGGCTTAAAAAAGGAGGAGGAAACAGCCAGCATGTGTCTGTGAGGTGGAGTGTGAGGCAGGAGACACTATGGTGGATTGCTGTGACTGAAGCTCTGCTGAATGACTAGTAACCTGGCTTTTTGAATCCCTGGGGCAAGCAAGAACATAACCCTGTTAAGGGACATGTTTCACAGGCAGTGAGCCAAAAGTTTGATTTTTGTACCCGGAGTTTGGACTGTTTTCTTTGTTTTGAAAACAATAAAGAAGTTTTCTTTTTTTTTAACAAATTGCTGGATGGTGATCTTGGGCCCTGCATATTAAATTAAATATATATATATATATATATATATATATATATATATATATATTGTGACAGTGTGACGATCTGTTACCCAGGATTCTCAACTAGGCAGGTTGAGGGGCTCCAGGGTAAGTGTTTGATACGGAGGAAAGTGGCTTTTCACTTTCCTCCTTTGTTTGTAAGGTCTGTTTTGGGATCTGGAGCCTGGAGATTTCAAAGAGATCTGGGAGGGATGAAATCTCCAATCCTGGGACCAGGTTTTGGGATAGGCCAGGAGACTGATTGCACAGGTGTGTGCAGGCCTTTAGAGAGAGTCAGACCCAGGGTTCTGGGCTCCACCCCGGCAGCTAGGAGTCGGCAGGGCTCCACCCCGGCAGATAGGAGTCAGGAGGGCTACACTTGGAAGACAGGAGGTCACAGCCTGGAAGTCAGGTGGGCTTCACCTAGGAGAGGTGGAAGCCAAAAGCAGCAAGGGGCTGCTAGAGACTAGCTGTGTGCAAGTGCCATATTTTTGGGAAGAAGTCTGCAGGAGACAGACAGCAAGCTGAGTGTAAGCCAGGAGGCTGAACCGTTGTTTTGTGGATGATCGATACCCCTGTGTGGGAAACTTCTGTTTGAACTTTCATTTAAATAAAAGTGGGCTAAAAAGGCCTTAAAAAAAGAAAGCGAGTAGCTGTTTGCGTTTAAAAGCTCTACCACGTTGAAGCGAGTTCCCACATATGGTGGCGGATGCAGTGGGCAGAATTGGAGATCCCGGCGATTGAAATAAGTTCATCAGTTATATGAACTGTTTGGTGCATAAGTCTGCACTATCTGTGTGTGCAGGTGAGGAGAACCTGCTAGTGAAAAGGACTTTGCCTTAAAGAGACAGTGTTCAATGGTGTTGCTGAACTATGTAACACACTGCTGTGTGCATGACTGCAAAGATGGGGCAGTCAAAACAGAAAAAGGAGGCAATGTTTGCTGAGATGAGAGAGAGAGCCCTGTGGCTAGGGGGTTATATACCGCATGCCCCAGCCAAGCCGGGAAATTTAGATGTGGGTGAGTCTGCTGTGGACTGGTGCAAGCGGCACCTGGCAGCATTAAACCAACCTACAGAGGAAAGCAAGCCAACCTTCAATGCAAGGAGAGAGCTGCAGGATGTCCGTACCTGGGAGAGGGGTGTTGTTGCCCCTGGTAACGCTGCTGCAGTTAAACCAGTAGCTGTTGTGTGAAAAATGTGAATGTGTCACAGCTTGAGAGTTGGTCCAGCAGAGAGAAGCGTATGCTATGTGCAAGGAGAGGGGCTGACCAGAGGCCAGGACCAAGAGTGAAGGCCCATAGCAACACAGAGGAGGCCAGTCGGGCTGTCTGTGTACGGGGTGTCATGTCGCACAAGGATCATGGCAAGTGGTATCAAGAGGAGCCAATACAGCGTGTTGGAAAGAGCCAGCAAAGTTCTGCTTGGAGAGTGCAATCTCCCATGGCGACTGGAGAAAAAGTAGTGCCTGGAAGGAGGAGCTGCATTGAAGATGTGGCTCAGTGTCCCAACAAAGATAAGAGTGGAAATGTACCATGCCTGGAATGTGGTCAGTGGGGTCATGGGATCTTTTCCTGTCCTACACTCTGGAATACTGCTGATATTGGGCAAATGTCGACAACTGCAAGCCCAGATTCTGGTTTTAAAATGTCAACAACCACCTCTGGCAACAGGGAGGAAGTTTCTGTTGGGCCTGCAGGGGGTGTCAGAGAGTCCATGGAGCCTATGAGGGCGTCTGTTACTTCACCTTGGGGCAAAGGAAAGTGCAGTTGAGGATGTGTTTATGAGACGACGCACTCAAATGAAGATGGCAACACCTACAACTGTGGTGGGTAAG